AAAACAAAGAATTTGCAGCTTATTGCTGATATGTCAAAGAAAATCCAGTAGAACTGGATAAACTGTGCCAAACCAGATCTTGCAAATGCAGAATTCTGAAAAGTAGAAGTTTCTCTTCTGTGAAAAACAAATCTTTAAAGGCGGTTACTGCAGGAGAAGGCCGCAGCAGAGAAATGACTCTGAACGGCCTGAGCAGGCAGAACACGCAGAGGGCTACAGAGGCAGAGGAGACAGCTCTGCACATGAGCTTCAATTTGAAAACTACAAAGCAAATTCCTTTACACAGCAAGCTTCCAAAGGCTGACCCTCCGTGTCCTCTCCTGTACGGGTCAGGGTTTTTATCGCTCTGAAAAACAATCATGCTCCTCCTTCTAACTGCTGGAGGGGATGGAGATTAACAGTACAGTATCTCCCAATTCTGTTGGATGGGAGCACTGCAAGTTAAAAAGGTAAAAATTAATGCTGAAGTTTTGCTACATGCATTCATTTCTGCATTTACTCCGTCTGCTCAGGGACTAGGTTTCTTCTGACCACTCGTCTTTCAGTTTGTCTAGGCAGGCATTTCCAACTACGCCCAAAATCCCAAGAAATCCTGTTTCCTTTGAAGCTGCAGCAGATCTGCACAGATCAGAATTTCAAGAGACCAGATGTGGACAATTGGTCCAGATGGTTGTATGATGATGTACTGCAAAATACAGGAAATGAACATTTTTTTCAAACACATTTACTACTGTATATGCATATATATAGTTTTGATGCAATGGACTCGGTGGACTGTAGTACTGACCAGGCTGATATCTGATTCATTGGGGTCACGCAGGCCTCACTGTGAATAAGTAGCTCCGTGCTGATGGATGGATGGACATGTATTTATATTCTCATAAATATAATTTGTTTGCCCTATTCAAACCATTGCCCAAAATTTGGTATACTTACAGAAAGAGCATGAATACATTCAGAGCCAGCTCCAATACGTTAAAACAAAATAAAGTTAAATGTGATTTCCATACTGTGTGGGAACACAACAATAACTCTTCTTGCTACAGAACATGTTCATTTGTTATGGATGCTCAGATCTTGAAGAAAGTCTATCCAAGCAGGGAATAAAGTGAGACAGCCTGAAATCTTTACCAATGTCAGGCTTTTATCATAATTGGAAATGTCATTATGTCTGAAGTTGAAATGCTAAGCCTTAAGCATCTTCCCTTGTAGCCTCGCAGGAAAACAGCGTAATCAATCACTTCCTTGAGTTTTATTTTCTCCGTCAAAACCAGTTAAGTATAAAATGATAAAAAGAACCAACTGCCTTCACAAACATTTAAGCAAGACTAGCATTTTAACACAGGTGGAAGATTAAAATGCCTTCTGCAGCAGACTCATGCAATCCTGTGTTCAGCTTTCTATCTCTATGTTTGGTAGGACAGACATCAAAGCAGGTCAGCAATAGTCGAAAACATTTTACGATGCCATCTATATGTCAAGTCAACTGTAACCACTTTCACACACACATGAGAAAATACAAACATCTTGGGTATAAAGTCAAATACTGATACAGACTGGCCAACACAGAACAGCATGTTTACTGATTAGAACACTTGAGTCTAGGCTGTCCTCCCTTGATAATCTCAGACACCAAGATCCAAAGATAAGGAACACTGTTATAAAAAAACTCAAATGCAATCCTGAAGCCCTGTAGATTGTGCCCAAATGGAAAACTGTTTTCTGGATTTAATTTATTCCAAATAATGAGATTCTTAATTGATATAAGAACATAAGACTGGTTAGAAATGAAAGGAGGCCATCTGGCCACCTGCGTTATTAATAGTTAATTGATGCAAGGATCTCATTCACCTGTTTTACCAAGGCATCAGCTACAAATACAGCTGGGTAGCTTGTTCCTTACTCCCACAACTCTTTTGGTGAAGAACTGCCTTCAAATGAGTCCTTGGTGTTGGAAATACACCACTTTCTATACATCAAGTCATTTAACCAACAGTGCCCTAGATGGCCTATCCTCAATTTGTTTTCTCCTGTTTTTCCATCTATACAGCTCTTAAAAGGTTGTCAGTTAATGATGCCCTGATAATTGTGGAAATATTGCTCTAACAAACTGTCCCTGAGTAAGAATATAGGGGGTTCGGTTGCTATTACTCCAGACACCTGGTGACTGAAACAATTATTGAAAGGCGTGCACAGTTAACGGTCATTCTGAAACTCAACTGACTCCTAGGAAGCTATAATCAACTACAAAAAGGTGTTTTTAAGCAAGTGGTTCAGATAAAGGGTTTCATCAGCCTTAGTGACATATAAGTCCTTTGGCCACAGATGAAGCACCTGCACAAGAAATGCATATTATTCTGAAAATAAAGCATACAAACATTCTTCTACAGATATGTAGCTTTCGCATAAACTGCAGCCTTGACCAGCAGCCTGGGTACCTGAATGAGAGACCTCCTAGGAAAAAATAAGGCTGCTGCTGGAAGAGGTGTCAGTGGGGCCAGGAGGAGGCGCTCACCCTGTGGTCCATGTGAGTCCTAAAGCCCCAGTATAGTGACGGGGACATATAAAGTAAATATGTGCCATCCTTCAGATGAGACGTAAAACCGAGGTCCCGACTCTCTGTGTTCATTAAAAATCCCAGGGCATGGGGGGATTTAACCCGGCATCTTGGCCCATCTACAAATTGGCTTCATCACTCTGGTCTCCTCCTCACTGATAGCTGGTGTGTGGTGAGCATACTGGTGCACTATGGCTGTCATTGGATCATCCAGGTGGGGGCAACACAATGGTGGTGGTGGTGGATTACTTTTAAAGCCCTTTGAGTGGAGTGTCCAGAAAAGCACTATATAAGTGTAAACAATTAATAATAATAATATTGTTGTTGTTTATTATTATTAGGAACTGTGGGACATGAGGGACTCTCCATTTAGTGATAAACAATAATGAACAGTAAAGAAATCCTTGAGACCCAGGTGTCTAATGACAAGGATCATACAGGAAAACATTACAGTAACGCTTAAACAAACATGGGTTCAAAAACTGGTTTCAATTTTGTTTCCACCTAGAGCTCACTGGAACACAACACTCACCACCTTCTCAGTTTCCCTCCTTTTCCAGCGTAAATGCGCATTGGCAGCAGCCATGGCTTCGATCACAAACGTCGTCGTCATGTAACTGCAAAAAAAGAAAGAATTCCGGCAGACGTCAATACCACGGGAAATACTGCAAAGACTGATGTGATATCAACCATGTTCACAACCACCCCCAGCAAACTTAAAGCAGTTTTGTGAGAAGTGTGTTTTCTTCTCAGGAGTGAAGTCAAAGACTGCTAAACTAACACTGGAGGTACACTCTTAGGAAAACCAGGAGGACTAGCTTTACCCACAAGCTAGTGTGGGTACAGTGATCCACGCACTCAGTAACTGTCCGATGGGAACTTGCCCTGCTTGCCAGCTCATCATGCTTTCCTGTGTGTTTTTCATAGATAAACACTGCCCCCTTGTGGAGTGTTGCTTATACTAAATTGTTTCAAAGAACAGAAGTTTTAAAAGCTTTCTACAACAATATTAAATCTATGGCAAAGACTTTAATTTTCTACTTTTTAACCTTGATGAACACCTGGTTAGATTTAATTTACAGACCAGTAACTTCAAAACGACTGAGAACTAAGACACACACACAATCACACACTAGGAAACTTTTGATGAGAAATGACTCTTTCGGTGTCTTTCGGTGATTGATGTAATAACACCGGTCATGTGTCCTCATTTCTTTGCCAGTCACCATTCAAGGCTTGTACTGAGGAACACAAACCTCACAGCACACTGTGTCATGCAGTGCAATGTGCATTATAGCAGAAAGGTTAACATGCAGTGCATCAGGAAGCACCACCCAAGCCACTGTTTTAAAAGAGCAGACACCCCGCCAATACACTGAGGTTCCTGCCACCTCAGATACATGGTGGTGGTGGAGGGGATCTCTCATTACTTTTAAAGCCCTTTGAGTGGAGTGTCCAGAAAAGCACTATATAAGTGTAAACAATTAACAATAATAATATAGTTGTTGTTGTTGTTGTTTATTATTATAATGATGATGATGATAATGATGATGATGAACTGTGGCATATGAGGGACTCTCCATTTTGTGACAAACAATAATGAAAAGTAAAGATATCCTTGAGACCCAGGTGTCTAACATGCAGTGCATCAGGAAGCACCACCTGAGCCACTGTTTTAAACGAGCAGACACCCCACCACACTGAGGTTCCTGCCACCTCAAATACATCCCTGCAACCATACAGTACAATTATAGTGACAACGGCTGCATCAGCGCAGATTAAGAGCAGTTCAGGTTGTACTGAACACTGTGCTCTAGTTACACTTGGAAAGGGCAGCTTCTCTTTTGTTACTTTCTTGAAGTTAGTCGCCTTCCCGAAAAACAAAGAAATGTATACAGTCTGACATAGCAATACTGCAAGAGTCCAAAGTACAAAGGACTGGATGGGGCGAAGAGTAAGTTGTGGGCAGAGTTGGGGTTTTCAGCCTTTTCTTGCACCAAGCAATACCAGGAAAAACCAATGAAAAAGCTGTAAAAACTGACAGTTTCTCCTCATTAAATTCTTATTTCTAAAGAACATTATAAGGTTTACATCTGTGGATATGTAGCTAGAATAAGCTAAGCTCAGTGCACCACCTGTCTGGTGGAGCCAGAGGAAAACTGGAAAGGCTTTGCATTAGAACCTCATTCATCACATCACACCAATAACTGCTGATCCAGCTCAGGGTCATGGAGGTACGGAGCCTAACTCAGGAAAGTCCCATGACAGGACACACCTTGGATGGAACTCACAGACACAAACATGCAAAAACACACAGCAGGACCAGTTTCCCAGAAGCCAATTAAGCTACCAGTATGCTTTTGCACATGCACCTCCTACAGCTCCCGCTCACTGTAAATCTGAGGTTACTGGAGAACGCTGTTACTCTGGACAGGGTAACAGCTATGACTTTGCATTTATGCTACAATTCTCTCATTTCAGTAACTACAGACTTCTCACCTCATTCAGAAGACAAATCCTCAGATGTAGACCACTTTGTAAAAAAATAAATAATTCTGCTTGATACCAAACTGTCATAAAGAATAAGCTGGCAGCCACTGAGACTATATAAATATCTTCATTGAGGTTGTATGTTCTCCCCATGTTTGCATGGGTTTCCTCCGGCTGCTCTGGTTTCCTCCCCTAGTCTGAAAACGGACTGGTAGGTTAACTGATGTCTGGGAAAACTGGCACTGGTGTGAGTGTACGCGTGTTTGTGTCTGCCCTGTGATGGACTGGCGTCCTGTCCAGGGTGTACCACGCATCGTGCACACTGCTTACTGAGATAGGCCCCAGCTTTCCTGTGACCTTGAATTGGAAGAGGCCCTTAGAAAACAGATCAATGGATGGATTTTACAGCATTTTCACATCTTTTCCCCATTTAGTGTGTGCCAGGGAAGGCAGCACAAAACACGTTTCTGGGTTTGGCTTGTGTCTATGGAATGTGCACTTTGTAGAGCAATGCAACCACTTTATGAAGAGTGATCTAGCAGAGACACTCACCTCATGAACGCCAGGAAGCAGATGAGTGCAAGGCTGACCACCCACCCAGCAGTGGCAAAAGCTTTAGGCATCGTCAAGGCCCCAGTACCAACGATCAGGTTAAACATGTACACCAGACCTACCTAGAGGAGGAGAAAGAAAACACAGGGGTGAGGGGCACAGGGGTGAGATCACACAGTATTCTGCTACCACCAATAACACCAGGAGAACAGCACTGCACCAGAACCTGAACTTCTGCAATGGTGAACACTTTTAGGAAAATATAGCTTGTTTTGAATAAGGATTTACATTCACATAGTACCATGTTTTTTTTTTTAATGATAAAGAAAAAACAGCATTTGAATATGTTTCACCCATAGAATGAGAAATTGTTAATTTTCACCTTAATATGTTTGAAGTTTCAAGCCATTCAAATGTGTATTGGGTGGGAACTAGAAAGACCGATATTACTAATGCTACATGTATACATGTTCATTTAAAAAACACAAGCTTTCGGATTTCAATGTTAAAAAAATCTAGCATTTTGTAATGTCAACTGAATCGGAGTCTTACTTTTAAACATTATGGAAGTGTGGAAAAAGCTGCACAGCTGCACACGCTCATGAAGTTGATACCCTGACATCTTTCAAGAAACAGCTGGTTGACATCTTCAAGTCAGTTATCTACTAACTACAAAATGGGCTAGATCCTGCATTTGTAACCACTGTTATGTTCTTATGGCTGAATGTTCCACCACCAGCAGACATCACATCAGGTTTAGGAATGGAATTTTGTATGGTCATAAAGAATGACATGAAAAATATATGCAGATTTTATCTCTTGAAGTCATAAATGGCCCACCCCATCATTTTGAACCTACTTAAAAGCTTATTGGAAGACACTGTACCATGATGGAATTACTTTGAAGCCAAGGCTTACTGTATTCACAGAGGTGGACAGTAAGCAAATCTGTCAGACACATTTTGAGAAAAATGCGACCTTTTAAATTATTGAAAAAAATAGAAAAGAGATCTTCAGTTTTCCTTCACACTGGATATTCAATGACCAAGTCCCTACCCAGGTCTTGCGAAACAATAAAAAAAAGCAGCAAGACCTGCAGCTTTCCAGAGCAGACCTGTTTATCACAGAAAACCACTATTACACTTCTCCTTTTTAAAACCCCTGATGCAGCACTGAGTGTGGGCTATTTCAGTTTGATTTTTTTTACTCCTACCGTTCATGATTGTTGCTGACTTAGTGATCCTTTGCATTGAATCTGCTGTTGAGCCTGCTTCACTAGAATCCTGGTAATTGCCTTTCTAACTTACAGAACCAGTAGTCTGCTGAAGAGCTACTGTGCACTATAGCATAAAACTTTAAAGCATGAACATCCATCACTCCATTTCCTCACAAATATTGATGTGCTGCACTGTTTGCATTATCATGTTATGAATATCAATTTTCATTGACAATATAATAGAAATTATAAAGACCTGGCTTGGAAATGTTTAAACTCAATGACTGACATCAAGGCAACCTTCAACTCATGGTCTGCTCCTCAATACTTCTCGTTAAAGCACGCAAATAGCTGTTTAAACTGCTTGTGTTGTTTACATAACAAGCAACTAAAAAGCACTTCACTTTACAAAAATACAATACAATTTACTCATATTTATGGCCAAATACGAATGAACACACTGGCAAAACTAAAACATTCCTTTCACACAGATAAAACGGTATTAGAACACTCACAGGCATTGTAAACTACAGCACAAAACACCGTTCACTCTACCAATATCCTGGAGTATTTACTAGCAAAACAGAGCCATAGTGTGTCACTAGGTTAAGATTAAGAACTGTGCCAAGGCAAACTTCAATATAGTGAGCTGTGATCAAAACCAGGGACTGTAAGATAAAACTGTCACAGCAGATTAGGGTTTACAGTGCAAAAATCCCCTGATTCTTGTGAACTGGTTTCATGACAGGTTATGAACGTTGATAGTGACAGGGCATCGTTCTCTTGTGTCAAGAGAGAAGAAATCTTTTGGCTTGGTGCTTCATCAGCAACTGGAGACCATCATCAGAATTTCTCACGTCCGCACACATGAATAAAAAGATAACAGGAGAACCAGCACCGGTTAGAATGAAGACAAAAAGAAGTGTAGTGCGATCACGGCATACTGGTATGGAGGTGTAGATGTTTTCAGCTTGGTCTTATGTGCTCCTGTGCTGACATTTCCCCGGTGGTGGGACTTCACGAAAAAACGATTTTAACGCTCCAGAGTGCAGCCTTATAATCGTGTGCAAACTGGACCTTGACTGAGTGAAACAGGAATGTCAAGACAAACTTCAGAGCTACCAGCAACCCTCCCTTCAACCGGACGATCGTTACTCACATAAGGGGAATACGGCTCCCCGGTGTCGGTGATGCCTCCAGCCATTCCGATACCGCCGCCTTGGAAGAGAAAGACTCACTTGAAGCAGTCAACTCCAGCCAAAGTTGGAAGAAATAAAATGAATCATGCATTTCAAAAACACTCGCAGTAGCATGTTAGTGCGTGTTTTCTACTTTACAGTCCCACTTCACGGTTATAAGGCTGAAAAGAACAGATGTTTTGAAACTGCGAGGGGTCGAGGTTATTTCCTACTATCTTCTCTTCGGAAAAACGGTGGTTATTTTTTATAAAAACGTAAGCCATCTTTTGGCTAATAAACTGTAGAATTTGAATGCGGAATTAGTTACAGAGTTTAGAAAGAGCCTATACACAAACCTGCGTTGTTTTTTTAATAGAAGGCATACATATTATTTTGTTCTTCAATAGATCGCACATTTACACTGGAGAGAGGAAAATTATAGAAATGTTCTCTAAAATTCAGTTTGCGCTGTTGTTTGCTTTCGAGACTGTAATGCCATTTGTTCCCGGTATACTATTAAAACGCACATAAAACACATAAAGCCAAGGCATGATACTGCCTGCATTTTACCATACCTGTAGGATCACTCACCTGGGTTACCACAGTGACCAGCAGAAAACACGTCCTTTCCCCCTTGTTCTCCGTGTTTCTACAGTGCTGTCACGGCTACAAAGGCACAACCGGAGAATGGCAAACCGTAAAAGTCGACGCTCATAACCTAATTTCTATTTTCATTTTGCCACTTCCACCACGAACGCAACAACATTCAATTTCCAGCAACACCGCCTCTTCCGCAGCTCTGAGATGTCCAGGTTTTCAGGTGCCTGTCACGAGACCGACGTGGATACAGAAAAGTGAATCTGGCGCCATCTTGGCTCTAATAGACGATATCAATGGCATTGAACTCTAGTCGTCGTAGCGCCAACATGGTGAAATAAGGGGAAACAATTTCGTGGATTGCGCCTGCCCGGCAGTCTCCGTCATGTGGCCAAGGACTCTGTAGGGGGAGCGCGCACGACCCCGGCAACGTGTTTATTTCCTTCTCTCGGAGACGCGCACGCAGTATGAGTGGTGATGGTGCGCTGTCAGAAACTACAGGAAGTAGCTCGGAGCAGTAATAATATCAAGGTAAGCGGTTGCTTGCCTGAGAAGGGCCTATGGCACTTCTATCAAATGTTTGGACAGAGTGGGATATAGGTTGCTGTGACCCCACAGACAACGTTGTGAAGAAAATTCCACAAATCGCTTTTTTGTCCATTTACTCTGTGTTCAGTGCGTAAAAATGCAGCTAGTGATCACAAATGAGAGGCATGCCTTCCAATTTACAGTATGTATTCCATTGTGACCTGCTTTATTTATTTATTTGAAACTTCAACAAATCTCTAACCGTAAAGTTCGCCGCACGGAGATCCCACGGAGTAATTGCGAGCACCCCTAAATCGCTAGGATACACATCTGTCCATTGACGTCTGTGTGAATGAAATGCTAAAAAGCGGTACCCATCAGCTATCTTTTTCTCTAAGTCATCAGGTCCAGCATCATGAGAATAAATGAGGACACGCTGTTGGAAGGACAGAATGTCGTGTTGGTGCCCTACAACGAGAATCATGTTCCCAGGTAGGGCCTCACTGTCAGAAAATACCTGTGGAAGCCCCAAGTGTTCCATTTTAAATTTACACCTATTGCTGTAATTAGTGTGTTAGAGATTGAGCACATTAGAGCTTCCGATAAATCACTTTGTAATGCCAAAGAAATTTCAAACTGAAAGCAATCATTGTACTAGTGGTTGCATAATTGACTTAATAGTAGTACAAGTAGTATTCAGCATCAATACTTAGACCCGCAAGGTACATTGTTCTAATATGGAAAATAATACAATAAGTTCTTCACTAGTGGAGCACATTTTCTTTGTTATGGTCTTAAAATCATTGGAGGAGTAGGTTATACTGTCACTGCAGAATTATGTAGAGGGAAAATCTATTAAATGTATCAATTTTTAAGCAGAATTTACTTCAGGCTTGTTAAGTTTCTTATTTGTGCTGTTTGATGGTTGTGAACTGTAAAAAACAGGAACAATTTTTTGGGGGTGGACCTGGATGCCAGAAATTCACAGTTTGCATTTTGCTGAAGGTGCCCGCTTATGCAGTGGTCCCAGAAATATTTTAAAACAGCAGTGTAATAGCTTCGGATTGCTTTGGCAGACATTGATAGATGCACTCCATTTACGTTTGCAGTAAAAGATCTGAAAGTCTTGTCCAAGTTTTACAACATATTTTTTCAAAGCATGCAAGGAGACCATTAAAGGAATCTGGATACTTTGTTCCATGTAAGGAATTGGGAAGTGGGGATTTTTTCCGCATGCTCTGATCATTCTTTGGACAGTTTGCCCTGAACCCTGTGCTGACACTCGTTCTGGCTGTGCCCTGCGCAGGTATCATCAGTGGATGAGCTCCTCCGAGTTGCAGAAGCTGACGGCCTCCGAGCCCCTCACTCTGGAACAGGAGTACGATATGCAGAGGAGCTGGAGGGAAGATGACGACAGTAAGACTCATTCGTTTCTACTGGACATCTCTACAGATCAACCAGATGGCCTGAATAAATAAGTGCACTGTGGGTTTTAGTGGACATCAGTGTCCTCCTGTAAAAACACTTAAACCTTAACAGATGTGCCAGAGCCGGCCCCATCAATCCATAGTTTCTGATTCAACTAGAAATCGTGTTTTTGTTTATTTTAGCATATCAAGTTTTTAATATTAAGACAAGCTTGTATTTTATACTCAAGGTAGATTCTAGATTAAAGTGTTTCTAGAATAAAAGATCTGGTTATGTTTGAAAAGAAAACCTGGACTGATGCAGGGGGGTTTTGTGACAGGATTATGAAACTCAATCCATTTTCTTACCGCTTCTTCCAATACAGAGTCGCAGAGTCTATCGTAGCAAGCAAAGGGTAAGGGCAGGGTATACCCTGAAAAGCACACCAGTCCATGACAGGGCACACACACACCTTCACACCAGCACCAGTTTTTCCAGGACCCAGTTAACCTACAGGTATGAATTTGATCTATTGGAGGAAATCAGAACACCTGGAGAAAACCAAGGGAGAACATGCAAACTCCATACAGATAGCACCCCAGGAATTGAACTCAGGGCACCAGTGCCAAGAGGCAGCAATGCCAACCACTGCATTTTCCACTTGTGAAAATCTAAAAGCGTTCATGTACCTGTTGGTATTGTTCAGACGGGCTCGCAGCTGCCCCCTCTTCTATGCTCTAACAGGCCAGAACTGTGCTTTCAGAGTGCACTTTCATCATCCTCGACAAGCAGCGGTGGGCCAGCCCTTCGGTACCAGAGGAGGACTGCATGGTTGGAGACGTCAACATTTTCCTGACCGATCCGGAGGACCCTTCTCTCGGAGAGTTTGAGATCATGATCGCAGGTAACTTCTGTTGCATTGAGGTTCCCTTGATGTACAAAAAGCAACAGGCACGAGGTAGGACTCTGGGAGGACCGAAACGCAGTAATGAAAAAGTGTCAAGTTTTTCAGACCTGCAGCCTGGGGTTAACAGGTTTTTGTAGTTATTTAAAGTTAGGTTTATATGTATACATAACAGCAACTGAACAGTGCTTGGGTGTTGAATTGACTTCTTTGAATGAAGAAATCAGATTTGCTGATTTTAGCATCAGAATCGGACTCTGATTCACTTTACACTTCCACACACCCTGTTTTACTATGTTAAGCAAAGATTCAACAGCAATCAAAAGAATATCTTTAGCCCCACACATCTCTACAGATGGCTCCAAATTCTAACAGCAAAACTGTAGTATTAAACTGTGCCTGAACATAACAGGACTGTACAGACTGCAAGATCTGCAGAGATTCCGATACTTCCACAGTAACCTTAATGGGCTCAATACATTTTCTCTGTTTCAGAACCCAGCTACAGAGGCAGGGGGTTCGGCAAGGAGGTCACTCGCATGATGATGTGCTATGGTATGGTACCACTACAATCCTCAGCACCGTTTCAAGGGACTCTTAACACCTAAGTTAGACCCATGTCAGCAAGAGAATATCTTACATGGCAATCAGAAGCCATCCTACTCCAAACTAGCAGCACAATTTGGTAATAGAAAAGAAAATCTGCCTAGAATACTGCAATTAGTCACTTCAGAAATATCCACTGGCCCTTAAATAAAGCTGTACTAAACTAATTGCCGCCATCTTTTGGAAAACAAATGGACATCATGAGTAAAAGGAATTCTATCCAATGTGTTTCCTCTGGGTGCACTGGTTCCCTCCCAGAGTCCAGAGATATAGTGGTAGGTTAACTGGCTTCTGGTAAAATTGGCCCGAATGTGAATGTATGCATCTGTGTGTACCCTGAGATGGACTGGTGTCCCTTCCAGGGTGTACCCTGCCTTGCATCCACTGCTTGCCAGGAGAGGCTCTGGCTCCCCCGTGACCCTGAACTGGATGAAGCAGTTAAAAAAAATGAATGGTTCATAAATTCATCATTCACTTCCCTGTTTTTTTTCACAGAAATGTACAGAAGGGCTCTGCGACCGTGCTGATTGTTGGTTCAAACATTGAAATCCCATACCAGAAAGCCATTAATTAATTCTAGATGGATTTTCAGTTAAAACCCAACATACAGTATTATTGGCATGTACCACTGTACATTGGACCACAGTTACAGTGTTAGTAACCGATATGTAACAGTAAATATTTAATTTACTATGGGAGATAATTCCAATTCTAATGATTTCTCCGAAAAGAAAATTACATTTTAAGAACCTATTTAGAAATAATCGACATTTTATGTGGTATTATAAAGTCACTTAGCCGCATCTGAAACAATTAGTTTTCTCAGATATAATGCTTTTAAGTGCTGCCTGTCCATAATCACTTGATTCCAATTATTTCTGTCTGATTGCCCCATTTTTCAGGGGTCACCAAGCTTGGAATTCGCAAATTTGAAGCCAAAATTGGAATGGACAACAACGTGAGCATCGCCCTGTTCAAGAAATTTCAGTTTCAGGAGGTAATACACATCTTCTCTTGTATGTGTGAAAACAATATTCTACTGGGATGCTGGGTTTTTAACCAACAGTGCCACTTTGGAGAATATTTTCTCACGGGGGAAATTAATTTGAACTTTGAATGATTGTTACCAATAACACTTTGGTCATGCCTAGAAAAAAACAGGTATTAGATCTCATCTCCAGGAGCACACTGCACATCCTGATTAAAAGCTAAAATGTCAGACTCAATTTTTGATAACCATGCCATCTCCTCATGTCAGGAATGAGGATTAGATGAGGAAGGAGCATGTTTCCTTCTTGACCGATTCATGCCTTCATTTTTTATAATTCTGTTTCCATGTGTGTACTGTTGTGCCTGTAGAGTAGTGGTTCCCAGTCCTAGTCCCCTACACACCTGGTGGTTCTTGTTCCAGTCGTGGCCACAGTTACACAATCAAACCCTTCATTGATTTAATAAGACTAATTAGAACTGTTTGCTCCCAGCTCTTAAGTCATTAGAACTTTAACCATTGTAATTTATAAGTTAAATAAAATCTCAAACTTGTGACAAGAAAAAAAATGCAATTCCTCCAAAGAAGCAACTTGTTACATCAATCAAGGCTCCAATTATCTGAGGAGGGATTGAATGAAAACCAGTGTGTAGGTCACCAGGACTGGGACAGGGAACCACTGCTGTAGAGGATCTCTGATTAGATTTATGCCATTGACCCCTTGTGTGGATCACTGAAGAGCTATGACACTTTACAGACCGCAACCAGCACACACTTACTGAGGTACAAAACTACAAAACTGGAATAGTTATAGTTACCATCTACGTGTTTCAATGCAGGGGTCAACAGAAGTACATATACTTGACGGAGGTGAAGAAACACAACAGTAGCCTTATAAGTAGGAAAACTACCATTGCCAATAGACTGTGGCTTTTAGGCTGAATTACCCAATTTCATGCCACACAACCATGGATGTCCATTAACCAATGAATGGGTCCAACTGGCTTGCATGTTCCAGGTGTCCTCGAGCGAGGTTTTCCACGAGGTGACACTACAGCTGACAATAGACAAAGAGCAGGAGAAGCAGCTCCTCGGCAACCTGGACTTCATGCAGGAGAAAGACTACAAGAAAGCAAGGGCTCGGCGGCTGGGGGAAGAGTCCTCCATTGACTGAGGACACCGTCGACGTGCAGAAGCCCCGTTTTCAAACCCGGAAGCCCATTTTGTATATATTAGCATTCCGGTTTGAGAACCAGTGGGGTCACGTTTTCCAGTAGAGCTGGGCCTAAAAGCCTTCTACAGGTGACCGAGCAGACACTGCTGTATATAAACCCGCCCTGCCTGCCACTGCCTTCCATGACTAAATGGTTCATAACACACTGGTTAAAATAACTAGCAATCACACTGATGTTCAACGGCACACAGGACACACAACAGAATAACAAATGTCACTCGATACTGAATGCCAGATACGTTCTTCCCCTGTTTAGGAATAGTGCGAATAAGTCTACGTTTATAATGTCGAGTCTACGTATAGTACGTTTACAGTACGAACATGGTATTCCTGTCTTTCTCCATTCTTCCCGTTTGCTAGAGGGGAAGGGCCTGGGAGCTAGGCAGTATAAGGTGGAGGGGACTAAGTCAAAACAGAACTAAATATTTATTGGATAAACAATATCACTATGCGAGAGGTTCAAAGACAGGCTTCACAATATAGCTATACACCACCAAACAGACTGGGTCTCTACACACTGCAAGAGCAACTTGAATAGGAAGCTGAAGCTGTGCTCTGCCTCCAAATCCCATGCCAGACTTCCACCAGAATCACCTTCAGCTGGTAGCAGTAAGGATAACGGATTCTGGGACTGCATACCACATTTCAGCAGTTCTATGCATTTTCCATAGCAGTGAGAGGGATAATTCTAAGCAGGAAAGTAACGGACGTCTGTCTCATTTTCCTCAAGCCAACCAGCTGTTCTTTTTGGTCAGTGAGTACAACAGATGTAGAATTGTGTATGTGAATTACCGTAAAAAAAGCTCATTCATCTGGAAAATATAACAAGTGAATTAGATCTAATTAGTACTTGTGCACAATGTTGGAGCTGCTAAATTCTCTTTAACATCCTCTAACATTTTGAGTTCTATTTTCTGCCCCATCCTGCTTTTTTTAAAAAACTTTTTAAATGGGAATAAAAAAACCTACAAACCAAAGCATCCAATACACTGTAAGACTGGTTTCCGTAAATGTTGGAATGCATCTTAATCTGCAGAGATGAACAGTTGCATATTAAGACATTGATGCTTAGGACAAACCATCTAAATCATGCTGTTGAACCTGTTTCCCTGAGTTTCTTTAATGCTTCAATGTTGATGCTAGATCTGAAAACTACAAGTAATGTAACAATGAAGCTGGTCCAAATGGTATTCTCTGCTCTGTAACCTTTCTTATTGTACATTTCAGAATCTGTAATTGTTACTTTTTTAGCCTGAAATTAATTATAAAATAAGTTGTCTGAGTTTCCAAGTTTATATCTGCGTTACTTCATATTTTTGTATAGATGCCTAATCTATAGAGCTGCCTGTACAGTAGTTCTCCAGTGTCTCACATAAGGGAGTCATTTTAATGATCACTACAGGCAACAAAGAAGCTATTTTTAATTCATAGGCAGGGAGGCCCAATGAGTTCCCAGGTCCTGCTAGTTATCCAGCCATCTCTAGTGCCAAAGAATGGGGAAGGAAACCAATGGATTCTGTAAATTCAGAATTTTGAAGTCTAGATGACATGGTATGGTGTGCATTTAACTGATTATGGTGAAAATAAACTTAGCCTTACAATTTTCTCCTTTGAGCTCTACATTTGAAAATATTAGCAACTAATATCCAAGGAGTAAAATGAATTTCTCTGCCTTAATATATACACACAAACATATGGAAAGGATTCTTGTCTTATTTCACTTACCTGCTTTTACACTTAACATACCTGAAGATCTGTACTTCTGGGATTCAGTGTGACTTGACAGATGCATGAAAACAACACCACTGAAACGTTGTCCTTCAGCCGGTAGCAGATTTATTTTCATGATTAACTTTTTTTCCTTACAAGAACATCCACACAGATTTTTCAGACCTTTCCAGTTCACCGCGGATAATATACAGCTGCTGAAATCACAGTTGTCCATGCCTGAAGAAGGACTCCAGAGAAGTCATGCTAACCTGGACAGAGCCACCAGAATTCACAACCAGCCAGCAAGAAAAGACAAAGACATAAGCTTTGTGCAATGTGTCTTTTTTTGCACCCTGGCATGGATGCCAAGTGTGTAGGAATTAAAATTTCAGACACAGAAAGGCTATAATTTGTGTAAAATGATGGACTCTTGCTCAGTTTGCATTAAAGGAAGACACAAATATACACTCATGTGGCCTGAGTCTCCAAACCACAAGCTATATTGTTAGCACTGTATTTGATGCATCACTTACACCAGAAGTATAACTGATAGGTATGTCAGTGTATCCCAACAGTGTAGTTACATTCAACCTCTAAACATGCAAATGCAATGAAATTAAAAACAAACATTTGCCAAAAAACTGTGTGCAGCTCTTCTTGATTGGGAATGCATAATAAAGTTAAAAATTAAGATTCATCATCTGCGTTTGTACCTGCAACCTGTTCTTTTGAAAGAAGAGTAGTGCATGATGAGCAAATCAAGCTTTACCATTTCATTTTGGCAGCGCTAGGACAGCAAGATGCTAAAACATGATTAGTCAGAAGACTGCCCAGAAATAACGTGTCTGCTGGTGATCATTTACAGCTTGGAATAAAAAAAAAGAAAAAACAATTCCATAGGAATTTTAACTGCATCCGCACCCACCCTCATTGTATGCCCTTCTGTACACCTCTTAGGCTGAACGAGGGGTCGTGGTTTATGGCTGTTGCACGGAGAGTTTCTGTAAAATCCGCCGGACCACCTCCTGTCCCCTCACCTGGGATACAGCCTCCTCGTACATGACATTTATAGAAACACAAGTCGCCTCCTGCCGCAGCTCTGTCATCTGACACACCCCCACCACGGCCAGGACACCCACCAATAGGAACAGCAGCAGCTTCAGCAGGAGGCTAATCACAGAACGCCTTGGCCTGGGGGCAGACTTCTTGACTACAGTGTGATTTCCTGGGGAAAGGAAAACATGTTTGATGAGATTCCATCTAAATACTTTCTCTTAAGTTTTGTTTTTCAACTTCTCTATTACATCAATTTCTATCCAACTGGAGTTGCCACACTTGAGAAATCAAGATGAATTTAATACTAATTCCTTACCCTCATACAATGCCTTTCTGGACACCCCACTTATAGCGTTTTACAGATAATGGAGGCTCCCCTTCACCACCAATGTGTAGCCCCACCTGAATGATGAACCAGTACACTCACCACACATCAACTACCAGTGAGGAGGAGAACAGAGTGATGAAATCAGTTCATAGATAGGGATTATTAGGAGGCCATGAGTGGTAAAGGCCCAGGGGAAATTTTGGCCAATACACCAGGGCAACACCCCTACTCTTCTCAAGAAACTCCTTGGGAATTTAATCACCATGGAGAGTCAGAACATGGTTTTATGTCTCATCCAAATTATGAATTCAATAATGAGCAAGAACATGTGTCACTCATTGGAGAGTATAACAATCTCTCGAGTCAGTGCTGACCTATTTAGACCTATATCAGCACTGGTTAATGGGTTTCTTTTGAAAAGTTGGAAAAAAAGATTGTAGTCAAAGCCAGTACCTCCTCATGAGCAAGGACAGCTGACTCCTGTGGACTCACCCTTCGCCTCTCCATCCACCTGCTCCTTCTTCTTCGGTTTCTCCTGAGAGGCCATTGCAGCCCTCTGGGCATCATACTCTCTCCTCTTCCTCTCCTTCTCTTCTGCCTTCTCCCGTTTGCGAGCCTCTCTTTCCCTGGCCTCTTTCGCCCTCTGCTGTGCTTCCCTCTTCTTCTCCAGCTCTGATGGTGTTAAAGAAGAAGCTCTATTTTCAACCACTGCCCCACAAACAAGCTGGTAGAAATCTACACAGAACTCAGGTAACATTTAAGAGGAAATAAATCATTTGCTACATAGGGGAGCATTCGATGGAGATGGTTTTGCTTTAACAATAACTTCTCTTTATCAATACAATCACAATAAGGACAGGGATCTCTCAGCTCCCATCAAAACAGTAACCTACTGAGCTACTAAAGGCTTGTGGTGACATCAGCAACGGGTCACACCTCCCCTCCAATCAGCACTGGAGCTCCTGTGCGTTGCTATGGAGCTCAATGTGTAGACAGGTCAGATGAGCTGGATGGCACTTCCTTGTTTCCCCCATGTGCATACAGGGGTTGGTGCTTGAGCCAAGACACCTGACTACTGGCGAGTCAAAATGGGGGTGGGGGTGGGTGTATGATATAAATTAGCGAAACTAAATTTAAAAAATAAAACAAACGGGAAAGAAATTTTTGATTTTTAAAACATAAGGCATCTGAAATCACAAAGTGATGAATTCAAGTGATCAAAACCCTTCACCCAAGCTCACTGTTATCTGTAAATGTCTTATATTTTACAACTGAGAGTGTACACAGTAAATTAATACTGTTTTCTTAGGTCTGGGCAAAAGGCAACGTCTTTGAAATAAAAATAAACTGGCACAACTTCAACTCTAACAGGACTCCCTGTGGCACCCACCTTTCTCTCGCTGTAGGCGGCGCTCTTTCTCCTTGTCCTCCTGCTCCTGGATTACCCTCATGTACTGCAAAACCTGCAAAAAAGGCAAACAAAAAAGTGACAACACTGTTCTGAGCTGACGCATTGGAGTCCAATGGTTTGAAAAATCTACACTGAAAGGCTTTTATTATATAAGATATGTTTCCAGGCAGCCCGACATTACAAACCTCTGCTTGCACCACAAAATATAGTTTAATTTCAATTCTTTTTAATGATTAAGATTTAGGGCTTCATAAAACGGGTAAATGTATGCATGAGACAAACTAAAAATATTGCTACTTTCACATTGTACCCATTATGTAATAACCAAATTGATTAAACAAAGTGAATAGCAAATAAACATTCAGGCTGCATTAGTTACCAGAATAACTTCACAATACTACACAGAAACCTGTTGCTTAATGTGCATATTGTATTATTAATGTTTATTTAACAAAAATACACAGAAACCACAGGGTCTGCACTGTAGGCAGTTAACTCCATTATAAAAAAAGGGGTATTACAATAGTAATTGTAAGAATTATTAAGGTTGACCACTTATTTACAACCAAACATATGCTTACTTTGTGGTGAGATAGTTACAAACAGCACTTTCTTTTTTAAAAACACTATCAGGGCTGGAAAATCATTATTTGTGGTTTAGTGAAAGGAATGCATTTGGAAAACACAGCACATACCCTGATAAAAAGACTGTATAACCTTACAAAGGTTGAGATAAGAACCATCCATTAAGGCTCACAGAATCAGGCCTATTGCAAGAAGTCCCCAGTGCCTCCATCTTGAATCATGTATTCAGGCCAAAACCTGATGTTTTCTTCCATGTCTTGTGATGGGCTGTTACTTTGGCATGAACCCTCTCACACACACAGCAGTCTTACCCTGCCTGCACACTGTTTACACTGCTTCTCGTCCAGACAGTCACCTGCGGCCTTGGCCAGGCTGGGTTCCAAGGGGTTGTCTTTGAGGTCGAGCCATTTCAAATTCTAAAAGACAAGCCAATTATATTGAGCTGAACTGACCTGTCAAAGAATGCTGGTAAAAATATCACCCCATCCATTTCAAGCCAAAAACAAATGTTGTATTAATAAAAATGACCACTGTGTTTTAGAAATCACAGTGGCACAAAAGAATTGCTTGAACACAGCACAATGCTTATGTTTGGATACTGAGATTTAGCTTCAAATAAGTCAGATACAGAACTATTAACTATTAAACAACCAATGTTTTATCTGCAAGTGATTAATTTCATTATGTAGGGCATTCACGTTTCCCCCACAGTGCTGCCCCGTCTTTTAAATGAGATGTTATATATGTGATTCATTTTGGGCTTGGCACCGAGTATCACTGAGTAACATTTGTATCATCTCCAGATTCAAAGCTGACCATTTTGGGACAGCTGGTCTCCTTGTTTATAGATAGTAGATAATCATCGTGAAGTAGCATGCAATACTATGCCACAAGATTTATATATTTACCATTACTTTGATTATAAATAATGCTGAAAATGCTTAAAGAGGATAATTTTGTTGCATTTCAGAACACAAGTAGATGAAGGGACAAAGGTTTGGATTCTGCATAGCATAGGCATATTCAAACTACAAGCTTTACAAAGAAAGGTAACAATTTAATGAGAACATGTCATTCATCTCTTCAGAACTTGCCATTTCACTCTAACCTAACCAAGCGATTTCTTCTGAGTCGTAACTGCAGTTATCAGATCTCAACTTTTACACAGTTATATATTTAACACCAACTGATGGACTTTTCCATGTTCTTTAACTCCAGACTCAAGAGTTTGCTGTTTATAAAACCTGATCAAACTGCTGTGTATTTGTCAATCTAATGGTTTCTCTGGAGTACAGTCACACCCCCAATGGCTCCACCTGGCGCAGTCCTGCCTACTCCTCCATTAAGTCACTGAAAAGCACCACCAGACATGAGCCAGTCACTGGCCAGGTCCATTCACCAGGTGTCACCAAACAGGAGATTTGGAATGCATGCAAATTAATGTGTCCATCTTACCTTTAACTGGGCAAAGCTGACAGGCAACATGGTGAGCTTGTTGTTGTAGAGGTCAAGGTGCTGCAAGCTGATGAGACGCCCCAGCTCTGCAGGTAGCTGACTCAACTGGTTTTTACTCAGATCCAGTTTAGTCAGGTGTGTGAGGCCGCAAAAATCTGACTGGAAAGAAAAATAAAGTTTCAAACATAAAGAAGTGATATAATTGCTGAGGCCTAGCTTCTTAAAAAGTTCCTTAACTCAGAGGCATTCAGCTCTCTCACAACATTTCTGCACTGCCATAGGATTACTTTCTAGATGAGACCAGTTACTGCTCCATTTTGCAACAGGTGTTGTGTTGACCATTATCTCTGAGTCAAGGCTGCTTACTTTTATTCGGCAGGGAAAATCAATTCTTTCATAATGTATTTTTCTAATAGATACATGAAATAAGCTTCTTTTCACATTTTCCTTCAGTCACCATATGTCAAACACTTTACATGATCTTTCCCCATCAGACCATACCAACCCCTACTCTAGTGATGTGCTTTAGCACACCTCTGCTGGCTGAACAACTTAATTCCAGAACAGTTTTAGGTGAACCACAAACAGAGAAGACCTTTTTACACATATGACTGTACACAGTGACTCAGAAATGACGGTTTCGGGTTACTTACAGGGAGGATGGTGAGGTTGTTGCAGGAAAGATCCAAGGCAGTGGCTTTCGGAAAGGCAGACTAAAATTAAAACAACAGAAGGTAAACTAGATTCAGCTCTGACACTTCTTCTAAGTACCGAAGATGCAGACTGCTCTGTAAGTTCAAACGACTAATTTCATTCTTCTTTTTCATACACTTGTCACCTATTGCTAGACTTTTAGCTTTTATAACTTCAGTTTTCCTCCTAAATACTGCTCTAGAGCAGTTTTTTTTTTAACTCTTGCATCCTGCAACTCCACACAGTAACTCCGGAAACAAGAGAACTGTAGTATTTCAGACAAGCTATGAAACCATAAAATCTCAAATCACAAATTGTCATGAAGTTTCCAGCAGGACTGCCAGCGATCAATTGAAAACTACAGTTAATTTCGACTGCAGTTTTATTCTATAATTTTTATTAATTATTGGGAGCTTTCACAATTTCAAAAGAGCCTTTGAAAGCTTAAAATCAATTTAACTTCTGTTCTTGCAGGAATTTCTCAAATTTCACGATTGACTTAAAATAATCGTTTTAAGTAAAATAAAGCCATGTAGAGCCACAAATCAAAATGTCACATGAAGAAAGCCAACTATATTTAGCATACCAACTCTTTAACAGGGACTTCCGTTAGGTTACAAAGGCTGAGGTCCATCTCGTTTCCATTGATTTTATCCCGTAGGTTCACGCCTTTATTGATGATTTTACTCATTGTGCAACTACAACACCTAAAGAACACAATGAAAATTAAAAACACAATCAAGATGCTGACAGTGCTAAGTCTGAAACACAGCCACTGCGACGGACCCGACAGTGGAACAAATCTTTCTGCATCGCCTCTTAAGCCGGAAAAGTATAGTAACTCGAACTTAACGATAATAAACTCAAAACATAACCAGTCTTATCTGGTTAGAACTTATTTTAGTTGCACTGCCAGCTTATCCATTGTAAGGACGATCTGACAATGAAATCCGAAATATTCGTGTAAAGCAGAAATACTAAATAATTTTATAGCTTTTATACAGTTTTCAGATGATTTTAAAATAACTTTTTCCATGCATTGACAATACAAAAGTGTAAATTCTTAAGTTACGACTACAGTAAAGCAAAGTGTGCAAACCCAAATAATTAAACTTACTCGCGTCTACCTGAACAACACTGTCGAAATAAATTTACTGCAGCGTGTTTTTTTCAGGAAAAGGAGGATTTTCAAATGACCGAACGCAGGCTCACTGTCAAGTCTACACAAATTTATTCTGTGCAGAAAAAAACAACTTCTACGCCTCTCTTCCTTCACTGGGAATGAATATCCACGTCATTGAAAAGCCCTGCTGGCACAGGCGCTCTGGGCAAGAGGTTAACTTTGGAGGAAAACGTGCTGACGAGTGGCGCCATCCGCTGCGTGGAGGAACAAACTACACTTGAGCTCACGAGCACCGTATTTTCTTCACGGCGTCGAAAACTACTAAATACATTGAAGAAACTCGTGGACTTCAAATTCCAAGGTGTGATACTGCAGGCAACAAAAAATTGTTAAAATGCTGCTGTATTGAACAATCGAAACGTTTTCTTACATACCTAGAACTCATTCTGTTTAATTCAATGTTTGTTTTTTGTCTTTGTTTTTTATTTAGATACAGTAGGTATTATTTTACTCATTGTGTAAGCTTAATCAAATGTTCAAGGACTTCAAATGTTCGAGAAAAAAGCATGACATGATGAGTTGTAGACATTTTAAAGTCTATTTACTATGAAATCCTACATTGTAATTCTGGTTGAAATTGAGAAATTGAATACTTCTAATAAAGTTATCCATTCACACCCAGGTGTAAGGCTGGGCTCAGAGTTTGTTGCCTCTCTGCTGCCTTGAAAGTTGTGTCTCGAGTCCTACTTTGACATTGAACATTAAACAGAGTGCAAGAACAACATAATATAGCAGGAGAGGTGCTGTCACGGCCTCCCTTCCTGTTCTTTCTGGCTGCAGATTTTTCCTTTCACTGATGACAGCCTCCCTCAGGAACTTGGTTTCTACACTGGCACAGGTGAAAGAGCTCCAGATTGTGACGATCAGTACCTTCTCGATCTTGACGGTCCTTCAGATACAGTCCAGCCTAACTTGGCCTTCGGGCCTTCCACACGAGCCATATGGTGATGCGGGACAGCTTGCAGTCCTCTCCCCAGACTAGAAACACATTTCACAGACTCTGGACTACACACTTCAGGAATGCCAAACCACGTTTCCTCTCTTTTGAGGTCGGATCCCGGACACCGCACTCTCCATTCATCGGACTAGCCAGACGGATTATGGAGACTATCCCGGCAGCCTGCAAAATTGTGCCTCCCCCCAGAGGGCTGTTGGCTCATTTTGTGAGCCTCAGCCTACATTCTGGGTTCTCTATGGCATAGTTTTCATGGTGGACTTTGGCGTGGTGGCAACATTGAACTCAGGGACACGAAAGGAAACAAACATAAACACTGGGACATAAAAGGACATTCAATAACAAATGAAAAGGGGTGTAAGAAAACACTTTTATAGGAGTGTTAACCCTGGTGTCCTGGTTAAATTCCTCTCTGGACCTCTTTAAAAGTTCCCTCTTAATTCAATAAATCTAGCACATTCTGTCTTCACTCCTTGACCCACTGTTCAGTGGGGCTGCTGTCAGGAAAGCTACAGTATGAAGACAAGGAACAACTGAATTTTGGAAGGATAGAAACAACTAATGAATTCTACTCAAATTGCACAACCTGTAAGACACGTTTCCAGGCTTGGGTCATCTCTGAGGAAGGGCATATCACACTTTCTTTTTATTATTTAATAATGTATGCATTTGCATTTGTCACCTTCATTCAATAGAACTTGCAAGGACTACAAAGGTTATAATAAATGTCTTACATGCAGTCTAATGACACAGGCTCAATTATCAAATTCTAGAAAAGTACACAGTCCCACATGTAATTCTGTTACAGGATCAAGCAAATTTTATATAGTCCAATATACATAGGAATCAGAAAAAGCACAACATCCAAAGCACAAAATCCAATAATATGAAGCAAAAAGGGAGAGTTGTATGGAATTAATTAATTAAGATTCAATGTGTGTCTTTCAGGAGGTGATTATATTGGCAATCACTACGGTTTTAACAACCAGAATAGAAACAATGGAAGAATATGTGGGCTGGCAAATAAACATTTACAATAAATCATTTCACCTTGCAGGACAGAAATCCTGTGATAGACTGGCTTCCCATCTGGGGAGTATCCTGCCTCGCACCCACTGCTTTCTGGGATAGGCTGTCTCATGACTCTTTGTCAGATAAAACAGAAAATTGATAGATGGCTTGTTCTTGATACCAATGATCATTAATACCCTAATAATTAATCTAGTATTTTGGCAGCAGAGCACAAGTTGAACAGAATGGAGACAAGAGGCAGAAGGCAGTAAACATGAAAAAGAATAGAAACCTTTTGTGACGGAGACTGTCTGAAAGGTGTTAAGTTACACAGGGACTGCTGCTGGATGCAGATTTCAGAGACTGAATGAGCTGTAAAAACAGTAGTGCACCTGTTCGATGTCATTGTACTATTGTGTGTGATTATTTTCATGTGTATTGTAAGTATTGATAATATAATGGATGTGTATGCAGGTGTGTTTTGTGTATTTAGGGGTATTAGATAAGATCACTTTATTAGCCATATACAATTTCTTGTATTAGGAATTTGTCTTTTTGCATACCCCAGCTTGCTCTCCATGAGACACACAGAAAGGGAGAGTAGCTTGAGGTCAGAGAGCAGGGTTAGTCATTGGGTTAGGCACCCCTGGAGTAGCTGGGGTTAAGGGCCTTGCTCAGGAGCCCAACAGAGTAGGATTGCTCCGCCGGCCGCGAGATATGAACCGGCAAACCTTCCAGCCACAGGTGCAGATCCTTAGCCACAGAGCCAAAACACCGCCCCAGATTTGTGTCACAGGATACAAACAAAAGACAAACATATACAAGAAGGTTTTTAGTGCAGTAAAGGAAAAACTAACAAAATGTTTTGTCCTTTTAGAGACTCTAAGCTGCCCATGTTAGAAACATAAATACAAGAAACACTACTACAGAGGCGAGATAGCAACAGAAGAAGACTTTGTGTATCTTTTCAGCCAGTTTGGTCCAGTAGCCAGGCTCTGTATCTTCTGAGGTGGAGGAAAGCAGGCTGTTATGAAGGATCTGCAGCTCCAGCAGGATACTCTCCAGTAAGTGTCTCTCTCTGGACTCCAAGTTCAGTGCTTTCATGCTGACATGCTCTGCAGTGGCCAGGAGCTCATCAGAAGAATCTGCTTAATGACAGACATCAGCACAGCGTGTCACTCCAGATCACCTTTGAAACTGCACGTAGCTGTCGGTTTACACAAGTTCACTTGAAGCATATCTTGGGCATGCAGTTCAGGGCTTGTTAGTTTAAATGTGGGCTGTGCCATAAGAGAGCTGTGATCAGAATTTCCAGTGCAGCTGCACAAAAACTAACAAAGAGCTGCTGGGTTTGAGTGGGTTTAGAGTGACTCGGGGCTTCCATGGGCACAGTAATGACCCCTGTGGCCAGGTGGCTAGACAAGTTGAGGGACAAGAGATCTCAGACATTTTAGTACTAATGTGGTCTTAATTAGTAAAGTTTGCATTTGTACATCGCTTTTCTTCCAGAATGATCCCAACATGTAGATATTGTACGCACATCATCCACCCCTGCATTGCAACATCCACTACTACAGGGCAGATGAAGCAGGGATGTGAGACATTAATTCACTGTTTGAATTAAGGAGAACATCTATTTTAGCCTGATTGTGCAAGACTTTAGTGGAACACATCAGCTATAAATTTAGTACCTGTAACCACCCCTTTTTTTACAGTGATAGAAGAGCAAGTAGTCAAGACCTTAGTTTAACATATTACATCTCATTTCATAATATCACTTCTCCCCATCCTGGGGTATTAGTTTAGACGTTCTTGTCAAGTAGGAAAAGTGCTGCCTACTGATCTTCCCACACCCTAGCAGCAGCAGCTTGGTTTAGCTGAGACCAGCCCAGCCTTGCTCATCTTCTGAGAACTGGCAAAATAAGGCTATAGGGTAATAATGCAGTTTTTAACCTTAGTTTTGCACAGCAAAGTCTTGGTAGTCACAGCCATGTCTTTATCACTGTTGGCATTATTAGGAGGCCATGAGTGGAATTTTTCATGACCACAGAGAATCAGGACCTCAGTTTTACGTCTCATTTGAGGGATGCACCTTTTTACAGTATAGTGTCCCCATCACTAATGTAATGTAATGTTTCTTTTTAGCCCTATACAATTTTTTGCATTAGGAATTCGTCTTTTCACATACCCCAGCTTTTCTCCACGGAGACACAGACACACAGACAGGGAGAGAAGTTTGGGGTCAGAGCGCAGGGTCTGCCATTGTACGGCGCCCCTGGAGCAGTTAGGGCCTTGCTCAGGGGCCTAAGGGAGTAGGATTCCTCTGCCGGCCGCGGGATTTGAACCGGCAACCTTCCAGCCACAGGCGCAGATCCTTAGCTCCGCCCATACCCATACCCCATACTATACTGGGGCATAAGGACCCACACAGACCACAGGGTGAGTGCCCCCTGCTGGCCCTCTCTTCCAGCAGCAACCTCAGTTGCTCCCAGGAGGTCTCCCATCCAGAGACTGGCCAGGCTCATGTCTGCTTAGCTTCAGTGGGTTGCCAGTTGTGAGATGCAAGGTGATATGGCTGCTGGTAGTTTCGATCCCTGTAAAGGCCACAGTATGGTAAAGCACAGAAATGGTCTCCTGCCTGCTGCACACTCACTGTGCTCTTGGTATCCCTCTGTCTCTGCCTTCCTGCTGGGCTCTGAGGAGAGCATTTCGCATCCCTTCAGCCCTCTCTCTGCAGGGGAGGCAGAGTCTTTCTCCATCAGGTATGTGATGAGAATGGTCTCCAGAAGACTCAGCAACATGAAGGCAAAGATGGCAATGCAGAAATTGGCTGAAGAGAAGACATGACAGGTTTCACTGTCACAAAGGATTCTGGGTTAAGGCAGAAGCACTCACTTCCTGGAGTTCAGCTGAGGAATACTTACTTAATAGGTCTAATTATTCTCTTCAACTGGAAACAAAGTAACACTTCAATCCAAAAAATAAGCACTGCACATAGTGAAGGTGCACATAGGAAACAACTTTAGTTTTTGATAAAGTTCCTAAAGTTTGTCAGACCTTCATCTTGGTTCACCTAGAACCATGGGATTTTGTGATGTATCCATACATAACTTTGCCATCTCAGTACAGCATGCCAAATCTAGGGCTGATCACTATATTCCACTGCAATTTCCCTTATGGGATCAATAAAGTATCTATCTGATAAGTGACAATCTATCGCAATAATAAATAAGGGCACCAAATCATAGGAGTGTCCTGAACTAGCCTTTAGGAAAATCCCAGACACAGCTTAGCATGCAGCATTAGTGTAAATTTTGGGGGCAAAAAACTCTCTATAATCAATGTAGACTTTCTTGCTTGGAAACCTAATAACATGTTAGGAGAGGTGGGTCTCAATAAACCACACTAAAGCTTTTGTAATGTTTTTTTAAAAAGAAGGTATGAAATCAGAAATGAGGTAAACATCATATTATGCAGATTAGGTAAAACTTGTCACTGGAAGCATTTCATTCCAGGATAAACTGCTTTAGATATAAGAAAATGCTAAGATGACCTTCTTTTTCTATATCTAGAACATCTACCTTACTCTCTTTGCAGGAATGCGGCTCCTTACTCTGAAGTGGGAAAGGGAAACGTGAGCTCACCAATCAACGGCGGTTTTCTGGACGATGAAGGAAGGATCTCGTTTAGTATCAACAGCAGAACAGAGATCCCCAGGATGATCGTCACCTTGAAGCCCAGTTTCTCCCCTTTCGTTTCCGAGATGAAAAAGGAGAAGATGTCCAGCAACAGGAAAAAAAAAATCGGCAGCAGAAAATTGATGACATAAAGCTCGGGCCTCCTCTTCATCGATATCTGTATCACGATCAAGAAGGCAGCACACACACAGAGACTTAAAGACAAAAGAATTGTATTTTCAATCTTCCTCATTTGCTTATAGCCCTTGTCATATTTATTATTGTGATAGACTTTAGTCTTACTTCATAAATTATTTGATCCCATTTTCCCCTGTCCAGTCCAAATGATGAATTCAGGACACGCATGCCCAAAAATTCCCAGTCTCCCTGGCTGTGTAGCACCTGCTGGGAGAGCTCTGTGGCTCTTGAGGAATTAGAGAAGGGAATCAGTCGCACTGTATCCACTGCAGGAAAAAAGGTGCCATATGAGGAATTGTGCTGTGACCCTGTGCATCTTCATGATTACAAGCAAATAACATTGTAAGGTCAGATGCCTTCTAAAATCTCTTTGCTGTAGGCTAGAGATGGTCTCAAATATCAACGAGTAACTATAGATCCAAATTTCTTGTGTCACCCATTTTCCAAATGCCTTAACTATTAACATCCAGTGTGCCAAAAGCAGGATAGGATATAGATAGGTGACCCACAAAATAACTATGTATTTTCATTAACCTTTTTCATTTTACAAAAGTCAATAAAATCCCTAACCACGTTAAAATCAAGAAAAGGCTTAAGCCATATTGCAAATGCCCTATGTGAATCTCGGCAATGTTTTTAACTGGCCTACAGGCAAATCATAGTGTCCTGAATTGGCCTATAGGAAAATCACAGACACAGGTTAACATTAGCAGCACTCACCTTGATGTATCATAGCTCCAAAAGTGAGGTTGCACGTCTGTGTGTCAAAGGGAAACTGGTACACATTCATCCTGCAACTGGTAACCGCACGGACATCGTCTTCAACAAACACTGTGCCGTCGTTCAAGATATACAAATATGGGCTCCGCTGAGACTTGTCCTCATCAGTGCTAAAAGGCATCATGAAACAGACTTATTCCTGTAGAGTTTGTCTCACTGCTTTGTATAGAGCTCAGCAGTCTACTTGCTATTAAAGCCATAATCAACCATCAACAGCCGTCCCCAGACCTATCTGATACAAGTACCAGTACCAGTACCAGTATAACTAGAGGTCCCATTCAGTTCTCTTGCAGCCAGGTGAGGTCTTCGTGCTAAGTAATTTAAAAATAGATCTGTACTTTTTGTAGGGCTTTTAGTGTATGTATAATACAAAAATTATGCTCAGCAATAATGATGTATGCTTCTGGCCAGGTGCTATTCATTTTATACGTTAAGATTATTATATTAAATATATGTTTGAATAATCCTATAACCTGTGAACTGCTTAAAATGTCTCAATACCTACTAATCAAATTAATCTTCTTAATGCAGCATGTTTTGAATAAAAACATTGTTTTCCAGTTTTGCAACCAGTTTTGCAGTGGCATACATTCTCCAAAATACTCCTATAATAACATTGGCAACTTAATTTTTAGTGCAGGTGGGTAGCTGCATCAGCATGCGTAGGCTGCAAAGGAACAAGTAATGTTTTTTTCCATGATGAAAACAGAAGAAAAGAAGCACGTTGTGTCACACTCGAAGAAGGCTCCACAGCCAAAATGTTGTGTTTCCTTTCTTCTCTTTTCAGCATTGAATAAAGCTATACTTGTTCCTTCATTTTTAGTGTCTTACTCCTATTCATTTTATGCTTAATCTTTCTTAAAGTTAGTAGAGGTAGACCCTGTTTTCAAAGTGTAATGTTTCTGTATCTGTGTGAATACAGTACATGAACAGTCAGCCATCTACTGTGAACACAATGCCAATTCAATTACTTCTATTGGGACAGACTTCATTGTGAGTCTCATAAAACCAAATATTAGCAAACTGAACTGTGCTTAATAATGCCTTCTCTGAACTGCACTCACACTGTCCTGTGCTCATTTAACAGAACAACCCAATACCTCTGTAGTTTCTCTTTACTATTCTTTTCATTTATTTTTATATAATAAAAACAAACCTGGAAAACAGCCCAACGGGTCGGTCTGTAATATGTGATCTAACTGGACACGTGCTGTAATGCTATGTTAGTACCAAAGGTTTGTAGACAAACCGTTTTGAAGTTAAGATGTTACATTATATCTGCACACAGCTTTCTATACTCTAATGGTTGCGAAAACAACCATATTGAGAAAACAGGAATACGAGAATAATCTGATTATGTCTTTCTCTTTGAAAAACCAAAGCACCCAAGGACCAGAGATAATGTATAATATTGATTGAGAAAACAGCTAACTTTATGGTTAAATCTTGCAAAAATAATGGCCATGTCACTACAATCACTGAAAGCTACTTGAGATGTTCTGTCTCATCCTTTAGAAGGAGGGAAATGCCTGGCAATAGTTTTGGTTATGGAGCCATTGAAAATGGAAGTTTATATCAAAGCTCTACTATAAGATAAAAAGGTTAGAATCTAAGCATACTCACGCCTCAAATATAAACACATCAGGCTCCCACATCAGCTCTCTGGGAATTGAAATATTGGAAATGCCACAAAACTGGCTAGGATCCCAGGAAATAAATTCATTCTCCCAGCTCTGTAGATTGATAACATTTTAATTTAAAACTCAAAAGCACTTAACAGTAAACCATGATAAAATGTGTATATTCTGCTTTACAGATAACTTAGATATTTTGCATTATTCCTTAATTCTTTTTCATTTTTTCACTTCTTTATAAATAAAGTTTTATGGAGATCTTCAACTGAAATTTTATTATTTTGTTTGACATTGTTAATCCTATTACTTCTGTATTTCAAAGCACAATAGTTTTCTTGTTGTTGTATACTGTAAACGAGGTGATTCAGCTACTACATCACTTCATAAGCCTTTGTGATTTTCTGATTTTCTGAACATACCAATCAGCGTAAATCACAGATGCTTAATGAAGAGCTGAGGTTCTTTTCACCCAGACTAAGCGGTATTAATAACAAGGTTATTCTAATAGCACTGTAGACAATGCTAGTGCAAGCTTTGAGTAAATTGTTGGTGCTCATTATATATATAATTACTGATTGTGTCTAAGACTTTGGAAAGCATCCAACTTGCGTGGTAATTTTTATTATATACTGCTTTAACAGTGTCCTGAGATGCAGTTTTTAATAATTAATAAACTTGCTCATCTGTACCAGTCAGACATGACTGTCTTGTCTGATACCTTACTGGTACCAGACATGTTACTATATTGACATTTACATGGGATAAATGTATTAAAAACTGTCGCAGAAGGCAACATTTTGCTTGGAACACAGTAACATAATAAAAACCAAATGTGGAGATTCACAACTCAGACATTTTTAAGGTAAAGGCATAAAGCCTTAAATATCAATCAAAGAAAGCAACTAGTATCCAGGAATAACAAGTTGTAACGTATAGAGTTTAATTTGTCTTGTACTGACAAAAGAGTAAAGAAATACTGAGGATTAGAATGGTCTCAAAAGCATTTAAAAACGATTTCTTTTCGAAGCACTCAAACCTGTTACTGTGAAATCTGCATGCACAGAGTAAAAGAGTTACATGTGTAAACCTGAAACTCACTGTTAAGGTCCAGATGAAGGCAGTGAATATTTGGGATTTCTCAATCTGGAAAGGAGGAATATTTATGCAGAAAAAAATAAAAGCATAGCTTTTAATAACCATTGATTGAAAACATTAATTGTTCACAGGATGCATCATCTGACTCATATATCCAATCATTCTTACATTCTTTTATTCTCACCTATGAGGTTTCCACACGTTTGTTATTTTGGATTCGCCAATACCAGATATGTACAATCATTCTCTTTTCAGCATGGAAGAGAATCCTTATTTTAGTTTTATGTTATACAATTGTTATATTTAGTAAAACATTGAATTAATGAATCTTAAGTGGCATTCTGTTCAAAACTTTCTTAACAATTTGTGAGACTGGAAAACAACTGAAATGAAATGCCTTTCATTGTCTACTGCCAAGTCTGCCAATGTAATCATGCCCTGAAATTACAAAATGGTTCTGAATCAAGTCTGATCACAATTGGTCCTATAGAGCCAACGGTATAGAGTTAGATTTTTATTAACTGCATACATTTACTAAATTATACCATTGGTAAAAAGTAGGTATTTTAGAAATGCTCATGAAACCAACTGGACTTCAGTTTTCCAAGAAAAGGATTGCCCCCCCCCCACACACAAATCCTCAGTTCAGACACTCACCACTGCTAAGATAGCATAGAGGAAGACCTCAATATAAACCTCTGTAGGGTCTCTCCAGTCCTTCACTGGACGGGTCAGAGTGAACAGATTGTTGTCCTTGGACAAATTCAGATACTGAATAACATCATTGTAGCTGCAGACTTTCTCTGAAGAAAGCTGACCTGGAATGGCAAAATGATTCCCCTTTTAGAAACCACCCCTGTCTTTATATACTGTACCACTGTTCTCTCTGGGTGAGAAGACTCACTTCACCCACCATGAGGTGTAGTACTCTCTGAGGTCACACCTGCCAGTCATTTGGACCCGGCAGCTAATTTCACAGCAGATAAGGTGCTGTAGAGAGGAATTACTCCAAAGATTAAATTCGATTGGGAAGTTGTTATTAGATATACCCACAATTCACCTCAGTTGTCTGAAATCTTCATCTTTCTAGACTTCTTTCCTACATATATGTGAGTCCCTTCTTTCCATTCTCTTTGTGTTCGTCTTCTGTACCCCTCCTCCACCTGTGCAGCTGCCCCTTGCTCGCTCCTCACTCTGCAGGGGAGTCTCAGCCCTCCTAGTTGTGAGTTGATCCAAAATTACTGTTACTAAAACACTCAATAAATGGATTTTGCCAGCCCTAGTGAATGGTCAGTGTGCTAGGACATCAGGTTTAACACCACATCTATTGCCACTGAAGCTCAGAGGTGCCAGGAAAGGTTAGCTCCCAATACAAACATACAGCAATCTGCTGTTGTGTTATATCAATCCATTGTTGTAAGAGAATTTAGGGGAATTAGAAGCGCTACTGTATAACCAATAAAATATCTGTTGCAAAAGACATCTGCTAACACACCCATTGTGTGGGTTTTGCTATTAATTTGGAACAGCAGTAGGTAAGTTTTGGCTGGCCTGACGTGCAAAGCCTACTCCACTGTTCCGGTCAGTGTTGTTAAGCAGATACAACAATACCTAGAGCATTGTCCCAGTCTGTCTCACCAGCACCAGAACCTCCAGCTGGTAGTAAAGGACAAGGCCGGGAAAGAAAACTGTTACTTGGATGAGGAATCGAAAATCCCATCAGCTGGTAAAAACTTAATTTGCTCCTATGAGATATTTGAGTACAACATCAGTATTTATTACATTTGAATTGCAAAAATTCCATCTCAGGTTCATAGACTAGATGGGTATTCCATTTCTTGTTTCCATCTGCCTTCCATTTCCAGATTTTAGTATTGTAGTTAGAAGACAGAAACTAGTATAAATCTCCTCTGGTAAAGGAGATGATTGAGACAGAATTGACAAACACCAGACTGTAATGAAGTGCCTAAGTGTGTGTAATGACAGAATAACCCAAGCAGATGCTGCTGTAATTGTATGGAGTAGCAAAATGCTCCTGTGAATACAGACGTAATGCAAGATTGAAACAAGTTTTCTTGCTCAATGTTAGATCAAGTGAATGGATGATAAAATTAATACATTTAATCTATTATCACTTCGACAAAATGGTACAAGTACTTTTAGCGTCCATCTTCAAATGAATAAAATCAACGTGGGTTTTGTAATTATCACATTAAGTACATGACCTCTTTCTGGATGTCTGCAGCCCTGCTCAGGAAGGAAATACATTTAATTTGGTATAAGTTCAAAATGGTGCTTCAGTCCTATAAGCAGCTTCATGAGAATCAACCTTCTGCAATTTAAAGGCGCATGCAGAATATAAAAGTTTGCCTGCAAAACAAGTTAGAAACTAAAGTCACAACTTCAGTTTTGGAAGCAGAAGCATTTCAGTTAAGTGAAAAGTCCAGCTTTAGGCAGAGCTAAAATCACCTTTTAAAATACTGTCCTCTTGTCATCCACTCCAGGAGATACCACAGCACTTTTATCAAAAGTACACATGAAGCTGCACTTACAATGTGCTTGAAAGTAGCTGGCCAGCTACTTTTAAGCACATTTCACAAACTCAGTATGTTTATTTGTTTGCTTTTTGATGATTGTTGGGTTTTTTTAATTAATTTGTTCCCCCAACAGAAAACCGGCTCTTTGGTTTCAAGCTTATGGTTTGAAACTGAAGGTTTCAGTCTCTTTATGGTTTCAGTTAATTTCGTCCTGGAAACATGCTGTCTACAGTATATCAGGCTTGCAACTGCAAAGGCAATGAAAAATCAATGCTACAGTAGCTGTGGCTCTTCCCAGACTTTCTTACAGAGCTTGTAACTATCTTTTTGGAGATAACCATAAAGCCTGGCCTCATAAGTGTAGCATAATATTTAAAAAGAAAAAAGAAAATGTCCCAGTTCTACTTACCCATTAGGGTTAGTGAAAACAGAAGTAACATCCACATGTTCACAATCATTTTTCACCAGGACCAGAGCTTTGAAGAGCAGAGTACTGGGTTATGTGTGCAAGACAGTTCCTGCTGTTCACAAGTGCCCGTCTGTGCTGTAGAGCCTTCAACATACAGTGATTGGTGCCCCCCTCTGTAGCTAGGAAACTGGTCAGCTGCAAGGTGGAGTCTGTGTTGGGAAACTGACTGAAATACACCCATCACCCATACACTGTGTATTAGAGCAAAAGAATATAAGAAAGGTAATGAACAAGAGCTGTTTATTCAAAGAAGATAGGGTTTTGGCTTCAACAACAAGGCTGAGTAGGTTGTTCCATACTCCCACAACGCTTTGTGTAAAAACGTGCCTCCTGTTCTCAGATGTAAATGTATTTCCATGCAGCTTTCTACTTGTTACCTCTACCCCATGTTTTCACTGCTGATACAGAAGGAGCTCACATGGCTGGCCTTTCAACGCCTTTAATGACTTTGAATACGATGTATCATGTTCCTTCATAGTACAAGCTGTCCCACAAAATGCTCATTTGTATAAACGGGTGGTCATTGTAATTTGTTCTCAATTAATTTACTTAATAAGCTACTGTATACCAGGGAATTATGGCTTAAACTAGGTGGGATCCCGTTGACACAGACATCTTAAATTGCCTTTTCTTCTGCCTGATGCTTCTTAATGAGTTTAGAGAAATACATCTCATGTTCCTGGCATTTAGGATCAGGGAGATACCCACAGAGTTATAACTATATAGATCTCATAACTTCTCCCTCGTGAACTACAAATATTTAATTCTGAAACAAAGCCACAGGCAGATACATCAAACAATAAAGGAGGAAAACAAAAATAAATCATTTGTCAAAACAGGCATCATTTTCTTTGGACTAAGACCTTCCCTAAAAAAAAAACATTTTAATCCAGTGGGAAAAGGATATAAAACCTTGTTTGAAAACAATTGCTTGCCTGTTTTAAGATTGTTTCTGTTGCTGCTGGGAATTCCTATTGTTCCTTAAAACTCTCAAAACACTATTTTTTCCAAGAATGCCAGTGTTCTCTTCACTCCTTCTCTCCTGTGTATCTTCCTCCATCCATTTTCTAACTGCTTCATCCAATTTGGGGTTTCGGGAAAGCAAGAGCCTATCATGGCAAGCAACAGGCACAAGCCAGGCTACACCCTGGAAAAGACATCAGTCCATCGTAGGACACGCACAGACACTAACACAGACACACTCACACCAGGGCCAACTAACGTACCGAAGGTTTTTTGGACTGTGGGAGGAAACCCACACAAACATGGGGGTCTGAAATTGAATCCAGGGCTCCAGCGCTACGAGGCAGCAATTCTTCCCGCTGCGGAACCGTGCAGTCTCCCTTGTGCAATGTTTTTTTTGTTGTTGCAATTAACCATAAAACTAAGAGCGAAAAAAAAGGGATTAAGCATTCTTAATAGCTTGACCTGTGCACCCTTTCTGGCAGAATGCTGTAAAGTGTGGTTGTCCATTAAAGGAGATTATTGCTATTAGAAGGCTGAAATGTTGAATATCCTGTACATCCATTAGCCAGGGCTGGATGAGAAATAAGATGAAGAGTGCTTTAGGGTATACAGAAGCCTGGAAAAGGAGAAATCAACACTGATCTGGGAAGACGGGGGAACACTTTTTGTGATCAAAGGGAATGGAGTTCCCCACCCCCCTCTGTACCCCCTCAATTCAAGACCTGGCTAAAATACACGAAATAGTTAGGACATTTTCTTTAGAAGCAAAGTACAAAATATGCTGGATCTGCATGCATTAACTATCCTCAAAGTTTGCGATATACTGTATTCTGCTGAATTTACAAATTGAGAATGAGCTATTGAAGAGATACACAGGTACACAGCTGTGCATAAGACCCACAGGACTTCCAGGAATGGGAGGTTCTGAATGACCATGAGGGCTCTGGAGAGCAGCAACACTCCTGTTTCTCAGTATGAGACCTGCGACATTAAACTGATGTGGACTGTGAGCAGATCCGTTAATGTGGTTACAAAAAAACATCAAAACTAACTGCATAGCAACCTTCACATAAAAGGTACTGGTGGTCCTCAGCTCTAATGCCTGTCTGGGTTGTTTCCTTTAAGTTTCCAGTTATGACCTTTGAAATAAGAAACAGTTCCATTTTGCCCGATGCAATCCCAAGAAAACTGATGCACAAATCATGCTCATGGAAGGTGCAGTGAATAGTGGGCTTACTTAGATACTGTAGAATATTCACTCCGCCAGTGACATCAGTCCAGTGCCTTGTCATTATGGAGCTTGGGATGGCCACTAGAATTGGAAAAATCTATCAGCTCACAAACTGTCTAGTGGATGCTAACTGGTTTGTTGCATTGCCAGTGTTTCATGCATTCCCTATGAGCCATGGTGTCTTCATGTTGAGGATGATGGCTAAAAAAGGCTGCAAGGGACACAGTCACAGAAGTATAATCCACAAACCGAGTAAAATTTGACCATTTCATTTTAATGTCTCATGATAAATTGTGTCAAAGACATGGCACTCCTGTTCAACAACCGCGAAACTACAGTGAACAAGAAAATGGCGATGTGTCAAGTCAAGTGACCTTTCGCAGTTGGAAGCAAGCTCTCAGAGCTGTAGTGTTCTTTAGGTTGCTAGCACACAAGCACTTGTCCATTCATTTCATTTATCAGGGACATGATGAAGGATAATTCATCTGACCATACTGTATATTTCCGTGCTGCTCCATACTCCATTGCCTGGACTCTTTTCCATTGCTGAATTTGCAAATGTGCACTGCAAAACCCAGTGTGGGATCCTGCGACCCACTGCTTTTGATTAAACTGGCTGCGCATCTTTGCAGGTTGAAATCTACTTTAAACTGACCTGCAATTGCACTCCTCTTTTGCCTTGCACTTGGTATTAAACCACTGATCTCATAATCCTGGAGTGTACACATCCACCCACTGTCGTCCTTTGCTGATGTTTTTCCCTGGGACTCCCATCTTAACATCACTTGAGTCACCACTGCAAACTTTGCACCATTTCAACTTGACAATCAGAGCATCAGAAATGTGCTAAGGCCATGTTAGTGGCTGCTAGGGACAGTTCCATTGTTCGATACAGTCCTTGCATGGGTGATCTGTTACATTAAAATATACCTGTTAAACAATGAGGCAGATGAGGTGTAATGTACTTTTACTGTACCCCATTAGAATCCCGGTTACAGAATCAGAGGATGGGGGGTGACCAAGAAAAACATCTGAAGACTTCTGAAACACAATTAGCATAGCCGCTCCACTTCCTCTACAACTCATTCCTAAAAGTGTTGCAGTCTGCATTAGTTTTTTCACAACATCAGCACAAATATAAGGAGACCAGTACCTTATATGAATTAGCAACTTCTTGATGACCCAAATTGATTAAATTAGAATAAAAAGAGCACTTATCTCCAGGAAGAACAACTTCAGGGAATACTATTGTGAGGATGCATAACCTTAAATGAACAAGATCTCTTGAAGCAAACAAAAAGTTTAGCTGTATACTGAAAAGTCCTCAAATTGCCAGGACTCATTCTGCTGAATAATTACTTTTTCCTATAGAATGTTCCCAGTTATGTGACTAGAGCACAAAAACCGTGCATAGCTGCATCGCTTTTCAAATTTACATTTGCTTAGTTGGCTGTGTATCTGCCAACTTCGTATTCATACATAAGCCATCCCCAACTGACTTAAATCGCATTCTTGGTGTTCATTACATTTTGTTTCATCATTATATTTGATTATCTTTTAACTTAATCTGTATGTATAGACTTTACAAGGTACAGCAATAATCCCATCACTAAACCTAATGGGACTCTCCATACACTGCTCCGCTTACTTGTTCCTCTTTGTGTCCAATTCCGAAGGCACATCTAGATCAATCAGTGGAGATCACAGTCATTCCCCGTAAATTTCAGTGCATTTACCTGGGTCCAGCTGAAATCTCTTAATAAAATAAATAAATAAATCTGTATAACTTTACAACTTTGTTCTGCAACTGAGGATTGCCGTCATACATTCACTAAATTAAAAAAATCACTTAATTTCAGCTGGGCAGAGAAGCAGGAAACACACAGAGTAAACAGCAGGCAACTCTGCAAGAACTTAGGTGCAACAAGGGTCCTTCTACTTTGAAAACATGAGACAAATACAAGAAGGCAGAATCATTATGTAACAGGCATTTCCTCAATTTTACAACACAAAGCACAACAAAGAAATGAGGAAGACGACAAACTACCATTTATTTTCATTATAAAACGGCTTTTAATAGCCATCTTCCCAAATTTAAAAGAACAAAAGACGACCATGGATAAGTAAAACTGCTTTTGTGCCACCTTCCCAAAATAGTTGGTAACATCAGCAGGTTCACAGTTCATACCAATGGGCATGTTTCTTTCTACAGACATCTAGAGGTGGGAGGGTTGATTGCCAATGAACATGCTTTTAGTATGGCCAGACAGAAGCATAAAAGGACTGTCACTACTTCAGGATTCTCTGCAACTCTTTAAAACTGAATCAAGAGTATATTTATTCAATTAATCGTCTTCAGCAAAAGCACTGTAAAAATACTCAGATATACAGTAACATAGAAAGAATGAACAATACGATTTTTAAATGTGCTAAACTGATTTTATAGCTGGAGTTCAGAAATAACTCCGGCTCTGTACCCAGGAGTGACTTCCATGTTGTTAAAAAGGCATTTCGCCTAACTACAGTTACTCATCTCAAACAGTTAATGAACTATTAACACTGTTCATTTGATTTAAAAAAAATGAATACATTTAAAGAGTACTGCGAAATAATTATTAGAAAACATTAACATTTAAAACCCAAAACAAAAGTAAATTCCAGTGAATTTGCTGATTTCCATATTGGGTGGGGGGGAAAACCTCCTAGAATACAAAGGCTTTTAACTTCAAGTTCTCAAAACACATCTTTTAGTTCCTTTGCTACTTCAGTCATTTTTGGTGCTGCACAACTAAGCATTCAAGTTGTGGACATGTTTAATGTTTGCTCAGTAAAACAGAAATTGACTTAAATTAAATAACTGTTACTTTGACTGAAGAGATAAACCAGCCCCTTTCAACCTAACTTGTTCCCCCTCAAAATAACATCACACCCAAGGTAGATATCCTGTGGGTGTTTCAGGGGCCCTTTGCTCTGTGACCCCCTCAATGCCAGACATCAGTGGGCAGCTGAAAGTCCTTAAAGGTGAAGAAGGAAATGTCTCCGCTGTCCACCACTGCAAACATCACGGGGATATCTCCACTCTCATGGGCCAGTCGTTTCAGCACCTGCAGGTCTGGGACTGGCCCATCAAAGCTACAAAACAGCAGAAACAAATTAATGAGTAATTCAGGTCTCTTTGTTACAGACAGTGTAAATGTATTACTATGTTCAATGTTAAATCAGTGAAGGGGGTGGACCACAGATTTCATTTTCCTTATTACTTCCTCTTTGTATTTGAGGTTTCACCTATCACAGTAACTGATTACCTAATGTACTCTATGGAAATGAAGAATTCATTGAAAGCAAAGCTTTTTTTCTTTGCTTTTTTTTTTAACTGATCTCTTCGTCTGATCTCTTCACCCTCAAAAAGGTGAGTAAACTGAAGCAATGTTTCCATAATATCTGTACTGATATGTCCATCTACCAATTCTGCCCTGTGAGAAAGTGACTGGAAACATTTTGTCAAAAATTACATGCTGTGCTCACAGTCTTTTGTACAGTGTTTCAAAGCAATGTTTCATCTTCCGTGCTCTAAGAGATCAAGTTCTTTCTGTAGTATTTGTGCTTCACTATCTTCAGCAGAGCCCTCAGTCTTACAGTTCCAGTCTTGTAAAGTGACGCCACTGACATAAGAATGAACTGCACATCACACCTTTCCCACTGGAGTCCAAAATCGTTGACTATGAACAAAATTATTTTTGGTATGTAGCAAACCAGGGATGCAGGGATACAAACAAAAAAATCCCAGAGAAAATACAATGGAGAGGGTTTTCTGCCACTAATTTTCATACACTAAATTCTTGTAGACTGTGCAAATAACCAGAAATATGTTTTTATTTTTACAACTGCATCCACAAATTCTCATTTATCAAACTGCATGTTTACACGTACCTGGCAATGCAAAGAGATCAGTATTGTCCAGTAAAAGTTCTCAACCAGCTGAGGACAGCAGCTGGGGAACCCCCAACCACAGTCGGCTAGGGGTGGCCCAAATTTGAACTTGCAGCCTCTGGACTGCACAGGCAATGCGTTTTGTATTGGTTGATTCACTGCACATACACAAATCATTTCATTGCATTTTCAAACCGACTGCAGTGTATTCAGCTACATGTTGTATGTTTTCTGAGCATTACATCACTAGGTAAAATGACTTTTCCAACAATTCCTTTTGTAGTATCCGAGTACCTGCAGACACACATGCGAGAATAAGGTTTCCCGGGATTCGTCTTCTTAAACTCCGCAACTGTACCAGGCTGGTAGACATCAAAGGCAATTTTCCATTGATCTGACTTGTCTGAGAGGCTGAGGAGACATAAACGTAATTGTACAAAGATCTCATTTTCTGCTTCCCCTGCATTAGCAGATATTAATTGGAGATTTCAGGTTTCGACAGCAAGAGGACTCAGCTTCATGCTAATGTATGTGGAAATACCCAAGGGTGTATTTATTTATCTTTGGCTGAACAGGAGAACTTGGGGAACCTGCTGAGCAGATGTGATCAGCATCCCACGTCTCTGAGATCACAGCCTGTGGGAAACACTGACCAAGTTGCTGAAGCAGATCCTCCAGGATGAGATACACTGATCAGTAAGTTATTAGCCCCCAAATGAGAATGGGTTAATTTTGTAACGTGTAGCATGTATCCTACATGCCTACTTGCTTTTCAAACTGCTCTACCTTTCAATCCCTGGAGAAAAGGCCAGCAAGCACGCTGATTCACAGCCCTAACATGTATCAGTAGGCAACAGCTTTATGTAGTTTAAAAAAACATTTAAACTGGAGAACATGCAATAAATGCTCTCAGAAAATTATATTTTTTATGACAGTAATGAGATGTCTTTTTTTTTATAATGTCGTTCGAATCAGCTTGCCACAAAGTACTTTACAGAATATATTGCAGTAAACAATATAGCAAATGTACAGCATGAGCATGGAGGAGAGGAAAACAAAACCCCCCAGTGGGAGGAAAGAAACCTCTGGGGTCCCAGGGCCCAATTATTCCCCCTGCACTCCAAGCAGTGCATTAGTGGTACATTAATCATAATAGAACATGATCCGTTTCTGCAAAGTCCAAGGTTGGTATCCTGACCCTCAGACCATTTTCCTTTCATTTTGCTGCATTTTTTTTTTTGCTCTAGCATCATGAGATATCAAGTAATTATTAAATATCATTTCGGCTTTGCACGCTGGCAGACAGAGCAAAAAGAAGCATGATAAGCTGGCAGACCAAATTAACTGGGGTCAGACATTTATAATGTACACCTTACAGAAATGTTAATGGTGTTTTCTGTACCCTGTACATAACATTTATTGTTAGATGTCTCAACAGATGCAGCACAAGTTAATATACACAAGTCATTACAAGTCCCAGCTAATCAAAGTAACTTACTTTGATGCTCCATCACACAAGCGTGAAGGCTTGATAATACCGATTCTCTCTAGCAGGTCACCTGAAGGAGAAAAAGAGAATCACACTACACTTAAATGTTTAAACATGTATAGCTTAAATAAAACAGTACTATAAATGGAGAGCTACATTTTTAAAATTGAAAAAATTGAATGTGTGGCAAATTATTAGATGTCCATCCGCCCATTTTCTAAATGCTTCTTCTGATTTGTGGTTGCAGGAGAGCCAGAGCTTATCCCAGCAAGCGACAGCAGGATACACTTTGGATGGGATGCCAGTCCACTGCAGTGCAGACATACTCACACCTAGGGACATTTATCCCTGAAGCCATTTAACCTAACAGTACGTCTTTGGACCTTGAAAGAAAACCCACGTGAACAAACAAATTCTATGCAGATAGCACTCCAGATCCAGAATTAAACCCAGTGCCCCAGCGCTGTGAGGCAACAATGTCAACCACTGTGCCATCCTGACACCATTATTAGATGTATAAAACCATTGAATGAAATTACATACAGCAATTTCATGCATATCAAAACCACAGATCTGTGTCTTACATATTTTTTTTAAACTATTAGACTATTAAATGCATGCATCAAATAAGCTGTACAGTCTGTACTGATCAAGAAGGGAACAACTTATTTTCTCCATTTGCAAACCATATTATTAAGAAAGAAGCCTGGCACATGTCAATGAATATTGGTTATGCCAAGTAGCGCCTGACATCTTTGTTTGCTTCAGTAAAAAGTAATGCAAATCTTAGGTACATGGTTAACTGACTCATTCGATGGGCCTATTGGGTCAATCAGATTAAAATGAAATTTAATCATGGGCCCACTAGGTGCTCTATCAGTCATGCCGAAGACATTGCCTTCACATGGTCCCACACTTTGCAACATGGCTGCGACTTGCTTCTAACACAGCTGCTACTAAAACCCAAAGCAGCTTAGACTCCCATAAAAACCGTCTCCACACCATGTTGCATAAGCTGGCCTTCTGAGGCAAAAATCTTGGATTGCTCTCACAAGCTATAGTAGGACCGCAGCCATATTGTACTTCCCAAGGATCCTGAGGCTACCTGTGCAGGAGGCGTCCCCCGGCGCAGTGAGAGGCCTGACCGCTTCTTCCCACAGATGTGCCGGCCTGCCCTTCGTCCTCCCCTGCCTCCTCCTCTCCAGCAGCTCCCTGTACTCCTTCCAGCTGCTGCAGCGCTGGACCTCCCTGTCCTCGTTCACCCCTCGTCTGTGGCACCTCACCCTCTCCTGCTCCCTCTCCCGCTGGGAGAGCCGCTCGGGCTTTAGGTTCAGCCTTCCCAGCCACGGGGTGATGTCACAAGTCCCCGCCGACAGGCCCGGGGGCAGCAGAGCCGGATTCGGGGCAGGGAGGCTGGGGAGCCATCCAGATGACCCCAAATCAGGGAAGGAAATCTTACTGAAGTCCCATTTTGGCCTGGGTAGATGTGAGGAGCTCCCCAACCTGTCTTCTGTGCCCTCCGGTGGACACGGAGGCTCATCTGGGTGACTAACCCACCAGCTTCTCTGTGGGGCAGCAGAGACAGATTCAGCTTCCATTTGGATTTCCACAGCAGGCGCTGGGGGGTCCGGCATCAACTTCTCCTCTGAGCCCAACACAGTCCTCCCCGGGTCCTGACCGTTCTTCCTGTCAAATACTGAATCTTCCTTCTTCTGCTTCTCTTGTTGTTCTTCTTGCCCATCTCCAATCCTGCTGAAGCAGAGACTCAACGTCAGCCCACAGTGCTTAAAGCTCTTCCCAGGTCTGCTGAATATTGGGCTGAAGAAAAGGCTAGGTCAGCAGAATGCCCCTCAACACATCCCACTGGTTTTTAGTTACCAAACTTTGCTGAATTTCTTCATGACGACACGATACAACCTTACCGTATGAGATGCATTAGCTACAGTGCCGACACCGATTTAATGACCGAGCCTATACAACCTATACCAAGTTAAGAGTTAAATTCTTTGCAATTCTGTTTGCAAATGGAAAATTATTTTTTTTATTCCTGACTGTAGGCTTCTGTTTTTTTAAAGTAAATTATTTATTATTGGAGGAGGGGTTGTCAACCCCCGCCCGATCTTCCTCCTCACCTAGAGCTGGCCCCATGGCTGCGCTTTCGCTTCAGGTGCTGTCTGGCAGGCTTCTCTCGCTGGAAGGACAGGTTCAGCTGTCTCTCATACGGTGAAGGAACACTACTGCAAAAACAGACGCAAGAACAGGGCTATGTGATAATTCTTTCACGGACATTTCTAAATTCTTCTGAAGGCCATATTAAATCAGGAGGCTGCAGAACAAGAAAGAATCCCAGCTATAAATACATGTTCATATGCCAATGGGCAAAATGATACACCTATAAACTTTAGAGTGTATACTGACAAGCCAGGTCATTTATTTACAGGCTTCCTTGAGCAACACCCAACAAAAATTGAAATGTAGACCAACCAGGCACAATGTAGGTTATCACAGGTAATATTATTGGTCAATTCTGTCATGATTAAACCAATCAACATGATTAAAACAAAATATGATTTCAAAACATCTGAAAATGTCCACTGTCTACACTATAACCTGTTCTCTTGTGGACCAAGGAACAAAAAAGAAATGTGTGGTCTCTTTAAGAACATGACTAAAAATAACACCATCATAACTTCCACTTATGAAATGTGTTGAATCAATCTACAGCTTGTTACCTTGGGTCAAATCTATTAACAATGTATCCCAGTCTCTTCAAATGGCTGAAGACCTTGGGGGAAAAAGAGAGAATGATTACATTACTGTCCAGTAGAGTTGCATGAAATTATCTCCAATGTACCTGGATTATATTTTTTCTGGTCAAAAAGTGAAGCTTTAGGGGAGATCTTACAGTATCAATTAAAAAACAAGAACTTTTTTTGCTAGTGAATAGCCCTATCACTCAACAAAATGAAACTGTTATTTCAATTACCATATTGTCTTTAAGGAAGACATATTTACCTCATCTTATAGGAGAATGGGGTACTTAAGGAGAATTAATTTCCTTTACACTAATGTGAAGACTCTCTTTCACTTTTCTTTCTCAAGGTGAACATTCCTGATGCTGATGTAGTGAGAATGACACTACTACATCAGACAACTCCAAAGATGAGTCGGTATATTTCAGCTGCTACACCTTGATGAGTCCTGAAACTCCATAATTAGAACAGGGTTCATACCAGAGGTAAATTTCAGCTTTTTAAGAGCTCAAAGCAAATTTTAAAAAGAAGTCACCAACAGAAAATTGAAATACATTAGCTTGTAATTAAGAACTCACCACAAACCAGAAGACATAGTTTATCCTGGAACCAGGGTTGAGACCAACTAAATATGTATTTTCCATCAAATATGGATGTCTTACATGCTTTTTAAACTTTGCAAGCAGACTTTTACAAAGCAGAGTCATGTTACAAAACACTGGAATCAACAATTATTTTGTTCCCACCCACTCTGGAATCACCAATAGCTCAAAACGGATCCCACAGATACGACTCCTGTCCAGCACAGAGAGAACCACTGACCTCACCGCCATCTCACAGGAGCTGCTCTTTTGCTAGAAGCCACCACTGATTGCAGCTCTACTGAGCTGCCTCAGAAAACACCCTTTAATTTATTACATTTGCACTATCATGCCAAAGAAGATCACTTAACACTTATCATCACTTAAGGACACTTTTAGCATTCTTCAGCCTGAAGTGGTTCACCACAATAGTTTGAGCCAACATGGTGGCATATTCCCACGGAATCAATTAATAACATAAAATAACTTTTTCACAAATGTAAAAATAACAGGCAGCTGCATTATAATCTGTTGCCAGTTTGGCAAACAAAAATGGATTCTAATGTCTTCTGCAAGGGAGTTGCTCACATGAGTACATTTCTTTTGATTCCTGTGTCATACCTGGTACTGCTGCAAGGTTATGGTGTCACTAGAAAGAAACATCTCATAACCTTCCTGAACCGACAGGGGTAAATCTCTGTAGAACACCTGCACATTCCCCTACAATATAACAGCAAAAGCAAAAAACAAACTGTTACAATGCATTGCATTCTGTAGTTTCTAAAAACACAAACCTGGAAAAAACTTTATATTTTACTGTGAGAAACTAACAAAATCTATAGAAGGACAAACATACTAAATGTACAGCATGTAAATAACTTTAAAAAGTCAAGCATTTTAGGAAAGTATAACTTGAAACTCCAGAAACACACATTAAGCAAATTTCAATGAAAAAATGCCACATATAACTAGATATGTTCCTCTGTTCCATGCTTACATTCTCACTCACCAGATTCCAGTTTTTAAAAACGGGGAGCTAATTTTCTCAATGTTTTTTTATTAATTCTGAACCACTCTTATTTAACGATTCCCAACATCAGATTTCTGACAATTGTATGTACAGCGAAAGCATCTGCAATCGCACAAATATGTCAGACTATTTTTTCCTGTAAAGGTAAAAATACAGATATGATATGGACCTTAAAAGGTGCCTCCTCGATTTTGATTTTTTTAAAACAAAGATACATGAAAATCCAGCTTGATACCTCATTGCCACATTAAACTAACAACCATGTATCAGGTTTCTCATTGATTCTTAATTCTGCACAAAGCACAGACAGACTCACTCAGCAGGCAATACAGAGCTTGGACTGTATAAACCAGTAATTCTCTGCTGCATGGCCAAGATTACAGAATCACTACTCTACCACACATTCTGACACAGAACAGACCAAAGGCTGGAACAACCCAACTCACACACTCCAGAAGATGCAGAGCCTCTTCCGGCAGGAGAAACTGCTTCCCTTGCTCAGAGAACCCCATGGTCTGCCAAAATTTCCCCTGGAAAATGAAAAAGATAAACATCAGTGCTTGCCTCCCAGGGGTGCTTTGTGGGAACCATGAGTGGCAGATAGGTTTGAACTAAAAATCCTCTTCATGCAAAAAATGCTTATGCTGTGTGTTTTATCTGCTGCGAAATCCCGAAACATACAGTGCTTCATCAGTGTATATAAAACAGAATATTCCGCAGTGTGCCTGATCTACCCTAAGGTTTAGGGGGGCTTTTGAATTCCTCAGATTAAGAGAAAGCAATGCTGTTTTAAAGCATATATAACTACATATTTGTGATTTGTGTTGCCTTAAAATTCCCCTACCGCAGAAGAAAATGTGAGGGGCACCCCTCACACTGGAGCTGAATATCTGTGAAGTGTCCATCCATCTGCTTGTATAAGGCTGGAGCCCAGCTGAGGGACAGGAATAGGAACTGATAATGTGATGAAGATAGAAGAAAAGTTCCCACTATAGTCTAACCAGCACATACACACCTTGGCCCAGTTGTTGTTGCCACACATGTTTGTCTGTTGTGTATAAAGGTAACTGGTATGTTCGAGAGTACTTTCATAGTTTAACTCTCTATTACCTAAACTATTGATAAGTTTTTTTACAAAAATATTTCTCATCACAACTGTATCCCAGATTAAGGTACTTACTGCTGGAGATTTAAGCTCCACAACATTGCCTGTGGGAATCCATTCTGCTTTCACCAGGCTTCCTCTGGGGATACACATAGACGGTTACCAGTAAACCAGGAGGGTTGTTTTTTCTCTCTCAAGAGGAAAAAACTAAAAATTCAGGTATGTGATTTAAAGCTGGATATTTTCTTGTTGCATTCTCTACAGGTCAGGAAAGACTTCTCTTTTTGAAGCTAAAAAGTGCAGACATTTACTAGAAGAGGCTAAACATCAGGCATAACTCTGTATAGACACTATTACTGTGAACTGAGGACTGAGCGCTGTCTGTAGGACTGCATTTCCAGTAACTTGTTTCAGATCACAGTCTGATTTTTTAAATGATATATCCCTAACTTCCTCAACTTATTGCACTTGTTCCCGCTCTAACAGGAATACTGTGGAGTGAGCTAGCGTTTGTCATGGCTGCCAGTCACACCTCCACTCATCTGTCACTCATGGTCGCCATGGAAATCCCTGTGACTGTTGACAAGAAGCCTGTATAAACTGTGGGCAATTACACCACACCTGCCACAGGTGAGGCAGTATTTTTAAGGTGTGCTCTCAGAGTACTCAGGACTTTCATATATAGACACTGAGAGCCTCTTGAACTTTAGCTTCTGTGTCTCCCATCTTGTGCTAGTCTTGCATTCCTGACATCGCTTTGTCCTCCACTACACCTCTTGGGTCAACACTGTGCTGGTTACTTTTTATGGTGTTTATCTCAGCTTGAATTCTGGTTTGCTTTCCGGACAACACTTTTATTGTATCCTCAGTTTGCTATCACACCACGCTGCCTGCAGCATCCTGTTTCATCTTTCTCTCTGACCTAACACATGGGTTTACTTTACGTCTCCTAGCAGGAGACATTTAAGGTCTGCTGTCAGAGTACTCACGGCTCTGGTATAGAGTTAAGCTCTCTGATACTGGAGACCAACACTGCCCTCCACTTCCCTCTCCCAAACACTCACAATCGTTCTACGCGCTCCTCTTCGATCAGAGCCCAGTGTTCATCCAGGCTCCTCCGCAGCCGTTCCTTCTGCTTCTCGGAGGCGTCAGGGAGAAAATCCTTCTGGCCCCGTGCCGGAATCTTGTGGCTCCGGGACCGAGCAGAAAAGAGCTCCGTGGGACTGTCAAGATAAAAAAAGTTAACTCTGCCAGGAGTTGTTCCCTCAGTGTGGGATATTGTGCTGTTACATATACACCCTGTGTTACTCTCCATGTACTTCTGCGTTTTCAAGTCCCAACTCCATCTTCATCTCAGATGAGTTTACCAGCTCAACTCTCTTTTGAGAGGCATGACCCAAACCACCATATTAAGAATTTTGTGAGGTTAGATTGTGATGCAAGCTTGAGGAATTTTCACCCTTCAGAGGCACAGAGTGATTTTTTTTACAGTGCAATCCATGGGACACAATATGAGTATCTATCTACTCATTCATTGAAGAAACACAGTGTGACACTATGACAACAATCTGCTGTACATATATTCTGATTCTTAAAACATTTACCACTAGCAGTATTTACATTTATTGTTTGGTTCTAAACTTTCGGGGGATATTTGCAATAGAAATTATGGGTGGAATGTGCATAATAAAATAAGTATTAGACTTCCAATAATTAAGAAAAGCATTACCGTTACTATTCTCATTATTCAGGAAAAACAGCTTGAGGCTGTGAGATCCCTGAATGGAATTCAATGCAAGTCTGAAAAGAGGATCAAGTTAATCATGATGACACTAAAGGCATCTTACTGTGCCAGGCAGGGCATAAGGGCATCAGCTAAGATAACGTTTAGATACAGTAATAATACTACACGAATCATATAGTTATAATATATAATGGTTTCATAAAGAAAAGTGTTAGGAAACGTGAACTATTTTTTAGCAGAGATACAGTACAAATAAACGTAAGCCATTCTGCCGTGCAAAAACGTCCCAAATATCAAACACCGACTTTCCGGGAAACCTACACATTACGATACAGCACTACAGATGTAGATGTTTCTGTGAAGTTCGCAATGAAGAAATGTAAACACTACCAAAAGCTTGCATTTATTATCACGGAAGAGCATGCGATGGTAGAGTTCACGCCTTTGTTATTGGGAAGTTTCAGTTCTTAACAATAATGCTCAGAAACAAATACACGTGTCTAACACATACCTGCCTCGCTGTCTGCAGTGCGAAAAACAGCTGACACTGTACAAGAAGAAACCCCGGGGTGATCATGTAAATTACTTTAAAGCCTACAAATTCTGAGTGCATACATGTTTCTTACCAGAGCAATTCGCTGCAGAAAACGGCTTTCTTACTCACTCCTTCGCTTTCTAGATCTGCCATCTTTAGGAAAACGCACCTCAATATCTGCGAGTTTCTGGGTCCTAGCGCCCGTACGAATAACACCCAATCTACGGCAAGCTAACTGGGTCATAAGCTGTAGGTGTAAGTCTTTACGCATCGCCGATTTAGCTACAAAATATATATACAGTAGATTGTAACACATTTGCATACGCTTAAAAGTTTTGTAAAGCGTCACATTTTTACATGACCGTGACACAAAACATTTACTATAATAGCATGTACAGAATATATCTAATTTCCTGACTTTATTACAATTTTTAAAGTACAATACAAAATATAAAAAAGATCTGTAATATTAATTGCTTTACTGCATGATTTGCTTGCTTGATGTTTCTATATGCATCTAATAAAGTAACTACATTAAAAACAGACCCTTACACAAAATTAACGATTTAATTACAATCGATTTCTTAATCTTTTAATTTTTAATTTTAAATGGTTAGAATCAGAATTGAAAGGAATATTCAACATTACAATAACATTAACATTAGGCCTTTGGGTACATTTATTTTACCACAAAACGACCGTAACTGTAATTGACATATAGCATATATGCAAAGACAAAACTTTGACTCAGTGGTTTGGTTTTCTAAACATACAGTATAATGTCAGGGTTATGGGTTTAAATCTTCAGTGAGGCTTTGCTGTTGTACACCTGAGAAAGGAACTTTGGCTCCAGTTAAATGCGCAGCTGTATACATGGGGGAAAATGTAAGCCGATTTGGATAAAGGTGATAGCCAAATAAAAATAAGTTACTATCAGCTGCAGTCGGTAGAGGAATTGGTTTGTACTTTCTTGAGAGGCATAAGGAGTGGTTTTAAAATAACACTTTTTCAACATCTTAGTATAGCAGGAGTAAATCTTGACGTTAGTTATTTTGCTGTAGTTTGTGTCTCTGCTGCAGCACGACAAAACCCACCTCATTCATTAGTGCTACATTTGTCCCGTTGAAAATAACGTTTGTGCTGACCCAGACCTGGGCCAACCCAGGCCTACCCAATCACTCCAAAGTAACTTAAGATGTTTTTCCCTTGTTTGCGTTACATAATTTACTTTTTAATGTTACTGGTTTGATTTTTTTTCCATCGTATGTGATTTGAAATTGGCTCGCTGTATCTGTATCTGACCAATAAGAAAATTATGTAAATATTGTAGGGCGGTGGATGCGTAGCCGTAGCCTAATTGGCTATCGTTGTCGTCAAACCCTCTTAGAGCTATCTACCGCTATGTTTTTGGTTTAATAGCCAACATGGCAAAAGAAATGCATATATCTACGTTTTTCAAAAAGCCGCCTGTAGATGACCAGACCAGTCCCCAAACAAATAAGACACATGAGATGCTACAGAGATGCTACATTGTATGGGTGACAGGGCCTTCTCCTGCTATGCCCCCAAGCTCTGGAACTCTTTGCCCAAGGATATTACAGAGTCACCTTCTCTAAACTCCTTCAAATCTAGACTCAAAACCTTCTTCTTCAGAAAAGCCTTTACTTAACTGGTTCCATTCTTCACCCCTCTGCTCTTCTTAATACCACCTTCCACGGTCTCCTCTATTGTTATTGTTGTATTGTTGTAATTATAATTGTGTCCTATCTTGTGAAATATTCTTAACATTTGTTGTAGTCTTCTTATTTATTGTTATTGTCATCCTGTAAAGCGCTTTGAGAAGCCACCTTTAATGGCGCTATATAAAATAAAGTTTTTATTATTATTATTATTATTATTATTATTATTATTACAGGCATCTTGGGTTTTAAGGAGTACAGCCTAGCTTCCCGAATACAATGTGCACGCGTTTGCTTGTAGCAGCTCGATACATGCTCGACTTGTAGGAGTTGAGCACGAAGAGGTTCTAAAATTTGTCCTGTAAACAAATTACAAGTTTTTGGAATGCATGAATAACATTAAGATAATATTTGACGGATAGATGCGAGTGTGCATTTTACAGATAACTATTCAGATCGCCTCTAAATTCCCTGCAGTATTTTTATGTGAACGACGTTTACAGAGCTAAAATACATCCAAAGTATGTATTTGACACTTTTATTAGCAGACCATTCTTGCAATTAAAGGTACGATGAATTGGTTAGCACTGTAGTGCGACTATACCAATTTAGTGTTAAGTCTTGTGGGAAATCATGAATTTCCAAATTAGAATACTAATTTCGTGGGTTTCATACAAGTTTAAAAGCATCATGAAGGATCAAACAAGATCTTCAGAACTTAATATTTTAATACCTTCGCAGTTTTTATTCTCATGGCGCCTCACTAGATATTACCCTTGGGGCGATGCATTTACTCCAGCCTCTGAAACCCATACGTGCGTGCACGTTCTTCTGGTATATTTGTGCTCAAGTCCGCTGAATATTTAAAGGCAAGGTAAAAGCTCCGTGAAGCTGCCCCCTCCATACCCCAAATAAAAGATGAAACCCACCGCATTTGTGCCGGTTTGTACCGTGGAAAATAACATTTGTGCTGCTTTCGTTCCCAAGATATAACGCCCTATTTTCCTGGTGATCACGTGACCATGCATGGCGACTTTGACCTCCAGTGACCCCGTCTCCCGAGTTCAAGCGTCTGTTACAGTTTAGCTCGTACCTTTAACATTTTAAAGACAATCAGTATCCATAAACATCTGAGCCTCCTTACATGTGAATAATACTAAAACGTGACGGATGCCAAAAAGTTAACTGTCTATGACATAAACCTGTGGTTGTAATGTACGTGAAATCATCGCGATTGTGAGATCTGTTTTTTTTTTCTATGGCACGTTTTCCTTTTCTTCCTCTACGGTGACACGCTGTTGCCAAACTGTGGGATACCATCGCGTAAAGACCTCCGCAGCATGTCATGATAGGGACCCAATGTATATCGCATGTAGATCGCAGTACATATCAGATATTATCACGACTGGCACCTTGCTTCAATGCCACCTTGGCACTGCTGTCGCAACAAAGGTCTCATATTAGGACGTGATATACCCAGATGTGGACTTTGTGTCCGGACATGGGGTCAGCATATCCTGTCAGGGTATGTCCTATCGCAACATACAGTATGAACTTCATGTCGATTCATATCATGGGCTTCATATCGCGACATGGGCATGAGAGTTTTGTCATATAATGATATATGGACTCCATGTCGCGACATGGGGCGGTGCATTTTTGCCGGGGTATTTCATATCGCGATATGCGGGCTTCATGTCGCGACATAGGCGCGGGGGCATTTTTTCATATCGCGATATGCGGGCTCCATGTCGCGACATGGGTGGGGGCATTTTTGCCGGGATATTTCATATCGCGATATGCGGGCTTCATGTCG